GGGGGGGGGGGGGGGGGGGGGGAGGGAGGGAGAGAAAGAGAGAGACTGTGAATGTTTTAATGTTTTAACATTTTAGGTCTTTAATTCATCTATAATCTATTTTTATAATTGCGTCAAGTGTGGGAATCTGCTTCTTTCCCCCCCGCCCCGTATTGATGACCAGTTGTCCCACTATTACTGGAGGGGTGCAACCTTTTCCGATGATTTATAGTGACACTTAAAACAAATATTTTAACTTGCCGTTCACACTTGGGTCTGCTTGGGGGTTCTCAGTTGTGTTCTGTTGCTCTTATTTGTCTGTCTCTGTGTTGGTGCCTCAAATGTTGATATCTAGGAGTGCAAGCACTTTTTCCATGTTCATTTTTTCCCTAGAAATTTCTTGCATTTGGAAGTTTATTTTTCTGTATGGATTTTGGAATCAGTTCATCTAGTTAAAAAAATCCTGTTGAGATTTTGATAGCGTTCACATTGAATTTGTAGACTGAGCTGTAGTCTATATCATTGTCTAAGCTCCGTGAGGGCAGGGAGTCTGGTCTGTCTTGTTCACCTCTGTGTCCTCAGCACTCAGTAGGGCCCAGCACATAGTAGGTGCTTCATAAATATTAACTGAATGACTGTTCAACATGGCATACCTCTCTATTGATTCAGGTCTCTTTTATGTCCTTCAAAAATATTTTGTAATTTTCAGTAAAGGAGCTTTTATTTTTGTTAGATTTTTTTAAGGTACCCTATAATTTTTGTAACTACTGTTACTGCTTTTTTATCTTTTCATGTATTTTAATTAGTTACTCATGTTGTTTGGAGATATTAATTTTCAAATATTGATTTTATATTTAGCAATACTGTTCAATTTTCACTTTAGTCCTAATAGTTTGTAGACTATCTTGGATCTTCTGTATAGTCAATGCTGATTTGAAGTTCATCTGATCTCTCACCCCAGCCTACCTCATATGTTCTCTGTTTAAGTTCTGGACAAGGAGAGATCCCCAAATTGGACAGTGGGGAGAGTAGGAGGAAGAGGAGGAAGAAAGACCAGCAGGTCAGATAGGTTATAAACTGAATGATTAGCTTTACAGTAATCTAACGTTGGCCTAATACTATATGATTTACATTCACTACTCCTGTTAGGTGGGACATAGCAATTCTGATAACGTTTGCTTTGTATCATCTGTCTTAGTGTAAAGTGATGAAGTTTTAGGAAACTGAGGGAAAAAAAATGAAGCTGAGGCCCAGAGACTTGAAATAACTTGCTCAGGGTCGCAAAGCTAGTGGCAGAATTACAGAATGCAGTTAGCTCTGCCTCTGAAATCTTTTTTTTTTTTTTTTTTTTTTGCGGTACGCGGGCCTCTCACTGCTGTGGCCTCTCCCGTTGCGGAGCACAGGCTCCGGACGCGCAGGCTCAGCGGCCATGGCTCACGGGCCCAGCCGCTCCATGGCATGTGGGATCCTCCCGGACCAGGGCACGAACCCGTGTCCCCTGCATCGGCAGGCGGACTCTCAACCACTGCGCCACCAGGGAAGCCCTGCCTCTGAAATTTTAAGTTAAATATTTCACTCTCTGACCACAACCCTCTCTCATTTTAGCTCTTTCACTCATTTATTTCTATTTTGATCTGTTTCACCCGCTTCTCAGGATCCATGACTTTAAACATTCTCCTATCGCCAGTACCCTCACCTTGTCTTGCCTCCTTACTGTCCTTCAGAACCCCAGCCAGTCCATCATCAGTATCATCCTCTGTTTCCATGGATGCACCACTAGGGATCCCGCACACACTGCCATGGGGTTTGGGACCATGTCAAATTCCTGGCCTTCTCCCTGCGGCTGGGCCCTCTCACTGCCCAGCAAATCTAGCCTGTTCCCCCTCCCACTCCAAACTTTGGATGCTTTTTGCAAGACTTTACCTGTCATTCTCAGAAAATGATCGGACTTGTACTTTCCAGAGGAAACAGGGACCCCTGGACAGGAACTCCCTGAGCTCCTGCCTTGCCTCCTGGGAACTCATCCACAGTGGTTCCACTTTTGTTTCCTCCCATCTCAGCACACCTCTCACGTTTCCACACATCTCAGAGAGAAGCTGTGTTCTTTCTGTCCTTGTGGTCCCTTTCCTCCTGCCTCGGAACCTTCGTTAACTCCACTCCTCTTACACCTCCAACATCTCCCTCTTCTGAATTTCTTCTCCCACCTTAAAAAAGAGCACAACACAGAACTCTAATTTGAGTCCTCTTTCAGTCACCCCATCCTTCAATGAAAGCTTTAAAGCTTTTCTGTTTTCACCATCTTCACTACACCCTCTAGAATTCAAGATGGCTTGAATTCTAGAGACTTAGACCTCCTTTGGATTCTGCTTTCATTCCATGGCAGGTTGGTAACCAAGTCCCGTTATCTGGGCCTCCCAAACAGCTTGGAAGTCCATCCTGACCTCTTCATCCCTCCTGTTCTTGTCTGAGTGCTCATTATGCCTTAAAAGGGCTAGTGCTGTAGCTTCCTGACTAATGTTCCTTCCTTCATACTTGCCACCTTCAATCCCACCCAGTCTGCATGCTGCACCCAGAGCCATCTTTTCAAATGTATATACCTATGCGTCTGTGGCACCCTGAAGCTTAAATCTCGTATGTCTTTCTCTTTGTTGCAGGATGAAGTCCAAACCCTTTTGCATGTGATTACAAGGGCTTCCATGATCTGACCCCTGGAACCTTTCTAACCCTCCCTCTTATTCCACCAGCTCTGTGCTCTAGACATAGCAAACCACTTCTCCTTTCTGGAACACATCATGATTTCAGGCCTTTGTACGTGCTGTTTTCTTTTTTGGGGGATGCCCTACTTCTACCCCCCATTCCTTTTTTTTTTTTTTGCGGTACGCAGGCCTCTCACTGTTGTGGCCTCTCCCGTTGCGGAGCACAGGCTCCGGATGCGCAGGCCCAGTGGCCATGGCTCACGGGCCCAGCCGCTCCGCGGCATGTGGGATCTTCCCAGACCGGGTCACGAACCCACATCCCCTGCATCGGCAGGAGGACTCTCAACCACTGCGCCACCAGGGAAGCCCCCCCCCATTCCTTTTTTACCTGTTGTATTCCCTGTGGTCAGCATATCCATATATCTATCCATCATCCACCCACCCATCCATTATCCATCCATCCATCCATCCGTCCAACCAACCAACACGTATTAACAGAGCAGCTGCTATATGCCAGGACTGCTGCTCTACTTACCTCACCAACCCTGCCCATACCCTCCATCCCCAGAAGAAATATCATTTCTTCCTTATGATATGATCCTCACCTCTCTGAACACTCACCAGAATCCGTTCTGTGCCCTTTGTTTGCATCATGTTCCCCTCCTATTGCTGGTGAGCTCCTCAGGGGTTGGAGCATGTCTTCACTCACTTTGCAGCCTGAGCTCCAGCACAGAGCCTGACAGTCACGTCTGCTGACTGAGGAGTTCCAGTTTCTCAAACCCTGTCGATTTCTAGTGGTGACTGATGCAGGGACAGAGATGATGGTCTTTTGAAGGAAGACCTGGTAGTTGTGGGGTTTTTTTTCCTGAAAGGAAGTGGATCTAATCCGAGTCTGAGGTGTGACTGTCTCGTCTGGGGAGAGCCTCATGGTCCAGCAGGTCTCCCTGCAGCTCCTCTTCTCCTTTCTCCCCTCACTGTCATGCAGGAGTGGAGGGGACATTGAGGTTGGAACAAGTGAAAGGATGCCGTAAACTTCCATAGAGAGATTGCAAGTGACCTCCAGGATTGGTAAATGTGGATGGTTAAATATGCCTTTGGTGCAGGTTTTATCTCATCCTTTTTTGAGGCAGGTAAGTGGAGGGGAGAGGAGCAGAGGCTTTGAGATCTTGGAGGAGACGGATTCTAAGAGCGGTGACACGAATGTGGCATTAGTATTTGGAGACATATGATTTGGAGCTAAAGGGTTCAATAATTTTGTATTCCTGAGATGTGAACTATAAACTTATAGTAGAAGGTGTAAAAACTTATTGTGAGAATCACAAAGATGAGTCCACTTTCAATGCGAAATAATAAAATGTGGGAAAGGAGACTTAAGATTGATAGGAGGGCAAACTAAAGAAGCAGCAAGGCCTTGGTGCTGCGATAACATGCGGCTGCTTGAAAAGATGCTGGGGTTTGACCCACACTGCGGTGTGTTAGAAACGTGCTCTTTTCTAATAACAGGAAGAACACGCAGTGTGGAAATAAGAGTTTTGGCCATTGAAACAAACATTTTAATAGTCCTGTTTGAGAGTAAAATTTCTTGTGCAAGTATCAGAAGGGTAATGAATGACTTCTTTTGCATAACCACTTGGTAGACGTTTATTTCATTGCTGCTGGGGATTTCCACCAGAGGTAGAGGATACATGGAGCTTAGGATGGCAAACAGCCATCACCTGGGGCTCCAAAAATGTGTAGGGCAGTTAGATTGAGGCTTATTAGGACCAGAATATCAGTGACTCTTTATTAATATTTATGAACTCTTTCAACAGTAGTAGTTGTGCACACCTAGGACCAAGCACAGGGGGCCCCGTGGGTAGCAGGGGAACAAGAGCCTCCCTCCTGGAGCTACCGTTTCTCCAGAGTAGCTCCAGTCAGGGCATGGGCTCCAGCCTCTTGGGAGCCTGTGCTGATTTGAAGTTGAAGTGTCCACTTCACCTTGACCCTGGTTTCACTTCCCTTTCCAGAGGTGCTTTCTTGATAATTTGGTGAAAACATAATCAGGTAGAACAGTAGCATTGCCCTTCACTTACCTTCATGGACCTGGGTCAAGTTCCTGTTTATCCTGGAATCTCTAGTCCAAGTGAAATATTTCCTCTTGGCCTTTTATAAAAACAAGGAACCTCTAAGATTTTACCCCCACCCCCAATCATCTGTTCCATAGGCTGAATTTTAACAATCTCTTGTTTTCTTTTCAGAAGGTAAGAGGGGCATCTGGTGGAGCTTTACCCAAAAGGAGGAATTCCAAGATTTTTTTAGGTAATGTAAATAGTTATCAATAGTGTGCCTGGATTTTCTGTGTGTGTGTATGTGTGTGCATGTGCATGCTTGATTCGGAATAATAGGTTGTTTATTGCTCTACAGTTTAAGGATGAGAGGAACCAATTTAACTCGAGATGATCTGTCTCCCCTTTATGTTTACCTGGTGGTGAAGAATGTTTACGGCACTCTTGTTGGGTTAGTGATTTGAAGCAATTATGCTGATAGTGACTGGAGAGAAATTGTGATTCTGTTTCTGGCCTCCTTTTTCACTGCCTTTAAAGAAGAGATAGTTTTTCTTTTTTTAATATTAGCCAAACTACAGACTTTATTTGTATTTCACTATTTTTTTCTACTAATGAAATACTATTTCACTATTTTTTTGTTCTTCCAGGATCCCATGTTGTATTTGGTTGTCATGTTTCCTTAATCCTGTCTAATCTGTGATAGCTCCTCAGGCTTTTTTTGTCTTTAATAATTGTGACACTTTTGAACAGTGCTGGCCAGTTGTTTTGCGGACTGTACCTCAATTTGGGTTTATCATGTTACTTCATGATAAGCCTGAGGAAGTGTATTTTTGGCAAGAATACCACACAGGTATTGGGCCCTTCTCAGGGCCTGATATCAGGGGGCACATGAAGCTGAGCTGTCTTCACACTGGAGATGTTAACCTTGATTGCTTGGTCAGGTAGTGTCTGCTGGGTTTCTCCACTATGAGATTACAGTATAATTAATAAATATTTCGGGAGTGATACTTGGAGACTATACTAATACTTGTTTTTCCTTAAAGTTTTGCCTACTAATTTTATCATCCATTAGTGGATCTTGCCTGTAACACTGATCACTGTGGTGTTTGCTTAATAGTGCTTTTCTGTTTCCCTCATTCAGAAGAGCCAGTTTTGCTCGTGCAAATACATACTGACTTCTATATCATGTACTCATGATCGTATTTCTTTTTTTATTTAATTAATTTTTATCGCCATATAGTTGCTCTACAATATTGTGTTAGTTTCTACTGTACAGCAAAGTGATCATATTTCATATTAAACTTCTGATATGGTTTTCCCAGGAGAAAAAGTGGTTTGATAATTTTTGACCAAGCAAGTTTATATCTCTAAATGCCTAGGATTATTGTTTGGAAGGAATTTCAAAATTGTTTGCATATTGTAATTTCATTTGATAAAGAAAATTTATACACATATATACATATGTGTGTATGTATGTGTATCTATATGTGTGTACACATACGTATGTGTATGTGTGTATATCTGTATGTACGTACATATACGTATATGTATGTGTATATATGTGTATGTGTGTACACACATACTCACATACATATATAACTGAGAGTCTAGTAGAGTCTGACAAAATGTACTCCAAATTGTTAATAGTAACTCTTTCCTGGTGGTAAAATTGAGGTGATTTTAGTTTTCTTTTTTTGCTTATCTGTATTTAAATTCTTTTTCTGTAATAAAAAGACACATTAATTATTTGACAATCAAAGCCATTGGAAACAGTCTTGGAGCTGAGTTTCCTTCCCACTTGGTTTCTCTGTTACCCGGCACTGGGCCCACCCTTGCTGTCTTTGCTTCTGATTTTCAGCCCCTGGTTTTCTTTGTGAGGCTTATCTGCAGTTGGTTTTTCCACACAGGCCAGTCTTTCCCACTGCTTGTCATGGCTTTGGACCACAACCCAGATTAACCAACTAGACTCAGAGCAGCTTAGAATGAGCCAGAAAGCTGAAATGATTGAGTGCATTCTGATGTTTTGGTTATAAGCCTTCGGCTCCCTTCCACAACTAGAGATAATTGATTTCTTCTGAATTAAATGACATTCACTCTTAAATTAGCATGGCATTCTTGAATGTGGAAATAATTGAATATTTTGACCTACATTGTTATTTTTCATTATTTTCTTTGGTTGAATAAAGAAGTTAGCTGACTTCTTATCCTTTAACCTTTGTGTCTTTTTTTTTTTAAAAAATAAATTAGCTGCTTTTCTTTTCTTTTTTAATTAATTAATTTTTTGGCTGCATTAGGTCTCTGTTGCTGCCCTCGGGCTTTCTCTATTTGTGGAGAGTGGGGGCTACTCTTTGTTGCGGTGCGTGGGCTTCGCATTGTGGAGGCTTCTCTTGTTGCAGAGCATGGGCTCTAGGCGCACAGGCTTCAGTAGTTGTGGCACGCGGGCTCAGTAGTTGTGGCTCGCGGGCTCTAGAGAGTAGGCTCAGTAGTTGCTCCACGGCATGTGGGATCTTCCCAGACCAGGGAATCAAACCCATGTCCCCTGCATTGGCAGGTGGATTCTTAACCACTGCGCCACCAGGGAAGTCCCTAACCTTTGTGTGTTTTACTCAAAAGACCCTGCAGTTTGATTTCTCTAGTGATCATACTGGTGGTAGCAGATATTGTCAAGTAATTGTTTTAAAAATTAATCCAAAGGTAAGCACTGAGGTTTTGTGCTTCATACTGTGTGGACCCCTCCATTGCTTCCTGGGAGAACTAGCCCACCCTTTCATTTCAGTTGGACTTTTTCTATAGGCTGCTGTCTGTGTTCTCTCAACATTTCATGTCTTAGAAAGCTGCAGGATCTGCCTAAAACTCACAGCCCAGCAAAAATGTTCTATTTGGACTGTACCACTTTTTAAAAAGTTTAAATTTGAATGCCATTGGCACTCTGGGGCTTGTCCTAGGCCCCGGTTCTCTCTATTGTTTTATACTCAGATGCATCACTAATTTATATTAGTAAGGATTAAGTTTTGCAAGCTCTGATTTATACCCCCTCGTAGCTCCCAGTAGCAGGCACTTTTCTCTTGCCACGCTGATCACAGCTCTGTTTTCAAGGTGGTGTGGCCTGTAAATTAATTTCAGTGAAGGACTGTATTAGAACTACCCTGATTTATGTAATTGGAAATGTAAAATGTTGGTGAATTTTAATAAGGTAGATGTTTATTTCTCTCATTTCATATAGAGGATGTTGGGAAGCAACAAATCCAGGCTGATGTGATGGCCTCATGTTCATCAGGATCTAAGTTCTTCCCATATTTCTACTTCACCTTCTATCCTGTCCTGTAATTTCTAACCTCATGGTCACTTCATGGTCCAAAAATGGCTACTGGGACTCCAGCCATCACATCCCTATTCTGGAAAGCAGGGAAGAAAAAGGGGAAAGGACCAAAAAAAAAAATCTAATCTCCCAGGGGATTCAACTTCTTTTTGTCAGCATTCTCATAGAATCCCATGCAACACTTTAGTTTACACTTCTCTGGTCATAACTTGGTCACATGACTATGCCGTGTGCTGCACAGGAGGCTGGAAAGTAAAGTCTCTTAACTGAATAAAGTGTGTTACTAAGGAGGAAAGGGAGAATGAATACTGGGAGGCAGCTAGTAGCCTCTGCCACAGTTTCCTTCCCTAAAAGGGACATTGGGTTATCTCTTCATGAAGAGGAGGAGAACTCTCTTGTAGCCTCTTTGTTTCTTTGACTACAAAGTACCTTTTCATTGCTATTGAAATGTAGTTATGATGACCCTTTATCCCCTTCACAAAACACATGCAGATGACTAATGCTTTTTCCTGGATAGAAGCTTTTTATCCCCTTTTACCTAATGACTTTGTGACTAATTCCTTTCCATTGGTTCAACAGTGATATTGAAACCATTGAATCATTTAGTTATGACCTTCAGTATTGATTTTATAAGGGAAACTGAGGCCATTAGCTGGTGCTGAATTGCTTACTCAAGTCTCCTGAGCCTCATTCTGCCCCGGCATTCAAGGCACTCATCCTCCTGATTACTTTGATAGTCATCTAAGTGAAACCCCAGTTAAGGGATCCTTCCCTCAGGTCTAGCTTTTGCTGGTAATGTTTTTTAGAATCAACAATGACAATTCTTGGTAATTTTTGAATCATAGAAATTTTATGCTTCTTTTAGGATTTAGGATTTTAAAAATATTCTTTGAATACATAACACATGGACAAAGCTTAAAATTGAAAAGTTATAAGAGCTTCCATAATGAAAAGTAAGTTTTTTTCTCTCCCTTCCCTGTCTCCCAGCCACTTAGTTACTCTGCCCAGAGACAAATAATATTTTCTGCTTGTACATCCTTATATGTGTTGCGTGTTCTTCCAGCAATAGTCTAGACATATACCATGCTTTTAGACTTTTTTCCTGTAGGCCATGGGGAGCCATTAACACTTTGGTTCCCAAAACTGTGTCCTGAGGCACCTAACTCACGGGTAACTCACAGGATATTTTAACTCTTCAAGGGAACACAGTGATGCTTGAACATTGCATGAGAGATTAACTTGATGTAGTCTCGCTACTAGGGTATCCTATACTCCTTTCAGTGACTTCATCTCTTTGTGAAGCTATTTTTTTTAGTGGTTTCTGTGGTAAAAGGCTAGTACTATGAAAATAAATGTGGAATGGGAAATAAGGGAGGCAGCGTCTAGTCTGATTCAAAGAGTAGTTATGCAGTGCCTCACAGTTATACACGTCCCTTGTAAGGAATTACAGTTATTTAAGAGTGAAATAAAACATTCATTTCCTTTCAATTTATGTGTATTATCTTTTCACATGGTTCCTAACTTATTAGAACATAAATACGTAATAAGTTGTTTGGACCGAACTACTAAATAAAAAGAACTATCAGGCATTTCTTTTGGTTTAGGACCAATTCTTGGTATTGTGCAAGAATTGCCTGGATGCTAAAGGGTGCTGTGAACTGGGAAAGTGTGGGTAGCTCTGCAATAATGTTTTTAAGCTAGAAAGGGACACTATTAAGCTGTCTTTGACAAAGATAAGTTACAGCGATATGAAAGATTGTGAATTTTGGGAGTAGGCTGATAGAAAAGTTACTGTTTTATGAGATGGAAGGAGAGAAGGGGGAATGGAAGGGAGTCCGGGATCTTCAAAGAAATACCCCAGGACTTGTGATGTGATTCTGGCCTAATCTCGTATATTCTATACATTAAAGCTACAAATGTGTGTAGTTGTGTAAAGACTAATAAATTTAATTAAAAATACCATATCTTTGGTACGTCATAAAAGTGTTAAATGTAAATTGATGACTAATAACGACCTGCTGTATAAAAAAATAAATAAAATAAAATTCAAAAAAAAGTGTTAAATGTTCACATTTTTATTGACTCCCCTACCGGCCCCCCCAACTTTCACAGACAGGAGTAAATGACTCAGTTCTTCCATGTCTGAAGACTGGGATGTCAAAGAGCTACTGCTAAACCTCAGAGAGCTTACATTCCACATTTTTGTCTTTAGCCTTGGTATTCATACTTGATAAAGAACAGGTTGAAAACAGAACATCTGTGGAAAGTTCCAGGAATGGGCCTGTTCAGAAAACTCATCTGTGCCTATAATTACCAGAAGTTTCAAGTAAACTCTATTTTGCTGTTTCCATCTGAAGTAGATCATTAAGAACAGGATCTGTGCTCAAGGAGCTGCCTCCGTACCTTCTCTTGAGGGCGAGCGGTTGGTCAGATTTCACGGCACTGGTGCAGCAGACTGCTCACCTCCAGCACACGAATTAATACCAATTCAGTCGGGCCGAGAGCACTCTGAGCCGGGCTTCACTGCCCTAGTTTGATTTAGGGATCCTTTCCTCCGCTGTGCTGCTTCATAGTTACTTCTTGGAATGGCTGTGGTCCCAGCCACTTCTCTCAAGTATCTGAGCAGATCAGTAAGTAGAGTTAAAGAAGAGGTATTTAAAAAAAAATTCTTTTATCTTTGTAAAAGGTCCCGTCCAGGTATTGCCAGTTAATAGTTCCCGTGGAAAGTAGCTGCTGGGAGAGGTTGGGGGGTGCTCGTTCTGCTGGTCCCTAGGCTATGGTTACTCTGTCGTTTCCGCAACTAGATGTTTTGGGGTGGTGAGACTCTAATTAGAGAAATTTGGAAATTGTAGATTTACATTTAGGATTGTGGGGTCATATATATGCAGGAGAAACCTTAGCTTTGTCCCTTAGATTCAGAGTGTAGGTTACCTCTGCTGACTTTTCCCTAAATTGGATTAAGGTTTTTGGGAAAGATCATGGTCCCCTTCCATCCCAGTGAATTAAGAATAAAAATAACAGTGAACTATAAGTGTAAGGAAGCCCAAGAAAGCTCTGCCTTCTTGCATGACAGTAAAGTCTTGCTTTTTTAAACACACATCAGTTACCAATTAAAAAAAACCAAAACCTGTAACAGCCCTTTGGGTGCTCTTGCTTTGCTGTTGTCCTTAAACACGCTGGTATTCTTAACTTCCTAGTCTCCTTTCCCAGATGTTTACTGAGTGTGTGGTGTGTGTTGGGCATTGTGCGGGGTCTAGGGATTTAGAAGGTGAATAAGACCCACTTCCTGCGCTTAGAGCTTACAGTCTAGAAGCATTTGAAGTTCATATCTTCTCCACACTCAGATCACATAGAAGATCCCCCATGATATCCTGGTCCTCCTGAAACTGACCTCAGGATTGCTTTGGAGCTGGGCAACCAAAGGGAAGGGAGGGCACTTGTGCTTTTGTTAGTTGTCAGGAGCATAGAGAAGAGATGACAGTGATGGCGAGGGTGATGGTAGGGGTGATGGCAGCTCTCTGTGGAGCCCCTAACACCTACCAGATCTTAACTAGACCTTAAAACCTTATCTTCTTTAATCCTCTCAACAATCTTAGGGGGTAGATAATATTATCCATAGCCTACTCATGAGGAAAATGAACTTGGAAAGAACTTGCCCAGGCTTCCGTAGCTGGTCAATGTCAGGGTGGGATTTTTTTTTTTTGGCCTTAGTTTATCATTGTTTTTGGCCAGGTAAGATTTTTTTTTTTTTTTTTGCGGTACGTGGGCCTCTCACTGTTGTGGCCTCTCCCGTTGCGGAGCACAGGCTCCGGACACGCAGGCTCAGCGGCCATGGCTCACGGGCCCAGCCGCTCCGCGGCATGTGGGATCTTCCCGGACCGGGGCACGAACCCGTGTCCCCTGCATCGGCAGGCAGACTCTCAACCACTGTGCCACCAGGGAAGCCCTGGCCAGGTAAGATTTGAATTAGCATTAAGTGCAGATGTTTTCTCTGGAAAAAAGACATTTAGATAATGTGTTATATGAGCTGACTGTGTACACAAAACCAAACGATTTATACTGTGGTTACTTAAAATCATTATACACAATATAATAAAGAAAAATTTAAGAATAAAGTTCATCCATTCATTCTTTTCTTTTCTTTTTTTTTGGGGCCATGCTCTGCTGCTTGTGGGATCTTAGTTCCCTGACTAGGGATTGAACCCGCGCCCGTGGCAGTGAAAGTGTGGCGACCTAACCATTGGACCGCCACGGAATTCCCCATTCATTATTTTCATTTGTTCAGATTTCCTTCGAATTTTTGTCTATGAACATTACTACAAAGTTGTCTTTTCAGTGAAGGTGAATTTTGTATTTTTAGCATTAACATGGCATAAACATTTCCATGTTTCTACATAGTCTAAAAAAATATCATTTAAGTAATATTCTAGTGGGTTCAACAGCATTCCTTTTTTTTTTTTTTTTTTTAAATATTTGGCTGTGCCGGGTCTTAGTTGTGGCATGCAGGGTTTTTAGTTGTGGCATTCAAGCTCTTGGTTGTGGCCTGTGGGATCTAGTTCCCTGACCAGGGATCAAACCTGGGCCCCCTGCATTGGGAGTGTGGAGTCTTAGACACTGGACCACCAGGGAAGTCCCAACATCATTCTCATTGAACACTTAGGTTATAATTTTTTAAAATGACGGGTATTGGGGCATTCAGATTTTTATAACATAGAATGTCTGCCTTTGAGTCGTTTTCTTTAAATAAATGCCTTTAGTTACTTCTTAAACTTTTAGACTCTTCTTTAACATTGCTTTTTGTCAAAATAACCTCTTATGGCTATCTAACAATGTTTATTTTGGCATTTCTGATTCTTATTATTAGAGTCCTTTATCAAAATGTGTAGACTGCATTTTAGCTGTATCTCATTTTCCACTTAAAACTGCTCTCCCTTTGAGAATTTAAGAGCGGAACTGTACATAAAAAGATTCCAGGTTGAGGCACACAACAAGGTAGTAACAGAATCTAGATCCTTTGGTTCTCAGCTGGCTGCTTCATCGCTTCATCTAGTAAAATAACTTTCTCCTGTTTATAGAGCCCATATTCGTGTGCCTGTTTGTGTGTGGGTTTGTGTGTGTGTGTGTGTGTGTGAGTAGAAGATGGCTCGAGAGCTGTTTGTCACCATAGTTCCAAATGTCTAAATATACAAACATGATCTGGGATTCTGGTATCCATGTGAATGCAAGGCTGAAATGTCCATGTAAATATTGTGACAGGACATTTCCTTGAACCTTTGCCTAACCTTTCCCAGAGATGAGCCAAGTAAAGAGGTGATGACTTGATAGATAACAGGCCAGACTTTCTTATTGAAAATTCTCCACCGCCTGAGGACAACAGGACCACTTATATTATGGGGTTTCCCCCTCTGGCTTACTAGGCAGTATTTCCACAACTCTTAGCAGGGAGGGAGAGGATAGGGGAGATAGAGACAGAGGGAGGGACATTGAGATTTTATTTTAAAATAATTGTTACCATTTATTAACAACCTGTTATGTGCCAGGTCTCTTGTTTACAATTTCTTATTTATTCTTCATATAAACTGTGTGAGATAAGTGTTATCTCCATTCTACAAATGAGGCCTGTGACTTGCCCAAAGAAACATTAAACTTTGGACCCGGAGTTGAACCTAGGTTTATCTATTCTCAAACCCGTGTACTTTCTTCTGTTGTGTTGTAAGAAACATTCCAACCCATTCTTGTGAAATCAGGAGTCAGGTACCCGACACATCATAATGACCAGGCTATTCCTTTAAATACCTCTAAGAATTGAACATCTAGCACAAATGTCTATTTTAACTGTAAAGCTTTATGATATGACTTAGTCTTCTTTGTACATCTGTCCCTTGAAGATAAGTGTGTATAACTTAGGAAGGATGGAAAGGCCTCCTCTTCCTGGCTTGGGGCAGATGGATGGCTGAATTGTAAATGCCGCGCCCTTGGTTCGTCAGCCCTGTGGATATCTGGCTTTCCCAGTGAGTGCTGCCTTGGTGTGGAATATTCTTTCTTCACTTCGTGTTCTTTGTTTTTGTTTTCTCCTCAGATCTAGATACTGATGACGATTTAAATAGCGACGATTTTGAATATGAAGATGAAGCCAAACTTGTTATATTCCCAGACCACTATGAAATAGCACTACCAAATATTGAGGAGTTACCAGCCCTGGTCAGTGAGTGTGCACGGCTGCTAGCTAGATGCGCGTGACTCTCTGTGTCAGGTGTGTGTGCGTGTGCAGTGTGTGTGTGCTGGGCGGTGGGGAGGGCGGGGTGAATGAGAGAGGAGGGGAGGAAGGAGTAGGAACAGAAGCAGATCGCTTCTCCTCTGTGAAGAGGGCCTCGCAGGTTCTCTTTCAGTGACACTGGGCCGTATACCCTCCGCTGCCTGTTACTTCCAGTGCTGTTTGGGCTTCACTGCTCACTGGCCGGCCTGCTCCATGTGGGCTGGCTTCTTTCCACCTGTGAATCACAGTCTGGTGCTTAGATTTTCAAATTGTGCCCCCGAGATGTGCAGGGACTGCTGGAGAGGGGTTGCCTTCTGATCAGGGACGCCTAAAATTTTTATCTCTTCTGCATGTTGGCCTTCCATGTAAAATTTTGTTTGGGAAACATAAAAGAATTCCACCGAGAAACAACAGCAACACGATTATGAAAATAACCCAATATTTACAAATCACAGGTCTCCAGGAGCTCTGTGATAATGTGTTCCTTTGAGGATGAAGACTGCTTTCTAGGTTTTAGAATTTAGCTTTAGTGGTGAGTTCTTTTCCCTTTCCTTCCCTTCTTTTTTGTGGAGCAACTTTTATCTTTCTGAACAACTTAAAGCTGGTGGCGGTGGTGTAAGGAAGTCAGTCTCCATTTTACTTTGATTCTCGAATCCTGTGGGGACCCAGACCATTTTCCTGCCCTTCCCTCATTTCCTGTATTGTCTCCGCCGCTCCATCCTTTCCTATGTTCCGTTTCCTTTCCTTTCCTCTTTTCTACTCGGTTGCATCCTGACTTCACAGAGCCTGGCTGCAGATAGCAGAGTTAGACATTCCAGTTCATTTTTTCCCCTCCTCAAGCTTTGCTAGAACCAAAGCCAGGTCTTTAGGTCCCTGATTCTTTCAGATGCTGTGTGACTCTGTCTACAGTCCCCTGCTCATGTGCCCCTGCCAAGAGGGGCCGTTTGTGCTTGGGATTCCCATGTCATTAGGGACCAGGTTGCCACCATTCAGCCTCTTTTGCCTCAGATTCTACTTTATACCTAAACATAAGACCATAGAAGTGAAAAATGTGTGTATTAAGCTATCGTAGCTCTTTCCTCTAATTATTTGATATAGCATATCTTTTTTAGTACCAAATGCATACGTTTTAGCAATGTGTACAGAATTAAATTACCTCTGCTTTCTCCAATTCCCTGTGTCACTCAAGTGGCTGTGATCAAGGACAAAATACATGATGGACAAAATGGTCTTACCCCGTGCCATTACTTGACATTATATACTAAAGCTTATATCTGTATACAACGGACAGTTCTCACTGCCCTTGTTTAATATAACTCTTGAGTCTGCTGTCAAAAAAGAAGAAGCACATTGTGAATGAATGTCATGAGAAATGATTTTTCTCTCACTCCCTTATGAAGAAAAAGTCGTTACGTGAGAAAAGTTAATGAGAGCCTTTAAGTACTTTTCATTATTCTTATATTTAGAATATAATCCTAAGTGTGAACAGTTTTATAGAAAAGTGAAGTGTCATAGAAATCCATATCCAGCAATATATATATATTATAATTTTTAATACAGAGTCTTTTAGAATTAAGAAATACTTTAAGAATTAAAAAAAAGAGAGAATTGTTTGGAAGTTGAGGCGGGGAGATAGAAGGAAAAGCCTGATTTATCTGATGGTAACTGGTAAGATTTATCTATATAAAAGATGCTAGTTACTATAATTTCTTTTCATGCTTTTGCTACATTTTTGGTGTTTGATAATTCTTTTTCAGCTTTTAAATAACAAAAATTATTGAACTCACCCAACCAGGTGACTCTTCGTCATCTCTTGAGTTTCTCAGCACAAAAAAAAGAAATCAGTTTCAAATAGGTACTCTGTAGATGCTACCAGAAAGTTAAAGTACCTCTTAGTGTTACAGGGGTCACAGAGACATAGTGTTTGGGACTCAGTAGGGATCTTACAGCCTGAAATCTAATGCCTCATTTTAGAGTCAGGAACTCAAGCCCTGGTGTGCTTGTAATTGGTTAGCAACTAGCTCCCTGCGGGCAAAGCCCTGCATTGTAATGTTTGCTGATTTCCATGGTGTAAATACTCCCATTTCAGGCTAACATGTCACCTAATGCAGTGGTGGGAAGGGATGTGTAGTAGGACATCCTCACATAGAGTTATCACCGTTTGCGTAACGTGGATGTAAGTGACCTCAAGAGCATATAGATTAGTTATTAAGATAGAGTAACACAACTAGGGAGTGAAGAGTTTTGAATATTTGTTACCTTTTAAAAATATACTTAATTGTGAGCTAATAGAATTTAATTTTTAATAATGGCTGTGTTTAACAACCCTCTTGCAGAATTTCTTAAAATTTAACAAGTCTGTAAGCCAGTTTGAGCCAATTCCACAACACCCCTGTACTTGAGATAATTCACAGTATAATTATAGGATAATGGATCCTGACCTTCATCTGTGATCCATAAAAAGGGCCTCTAAGTGATTTTAGACGGTATTCTGAAAACACTAGGTCAGTGTTTTATAACATCCTAGATGATTAAGGAAATTTTGTTGAGTGTCACCAAAAAGATATTCAAAGAAAAGAGAGAATATTATATTCTTATTATTATCACTGTGCATTGCAAACTAGAACACTTAAAAAAGACCTAATAGGGTGGAGAAGATTCAGAGGAGGAAAGGGAAGGGATCGAGGTAGTCAGTGAAACAACAAAGAGGTTGTAACAGACCAGACTGAAAAGATTAGGATGTGTAGCCAGAAGTGCTAAGGCCGCATGGCCCAAACCCATAAAATCAGGAAGGGGCTCATGGTGAACTCAGCCTTGTTTTCTAGGGGCATTACTGGAAGGGCATGGGAGATGAATTTTGATAATTGAAAGGAAAAGCTACTTATATAACATTTCTTGTGGGAGATGAATGGGAATATTTTTAAAAAGGTTTAGAGAAGGGTAAGATAGGGGAAGGGGGAATTAAGAGGTACAAACTACTAGGTATAAAATAAATAGAATACAAGGATATAATATACAGCACAGAGAATATAACCAATATTTTATAATAACTCTAAATGGAGTATAAGCTATAAAAATATCAGATTACTATGTTGTATACCTGAAACTAATATAACATTGTAAATCAAGTAAAAAACTTCTATCAAATAAACACCTCCCCCGCAAAAAAAAAGAAGTTTAAATATATTTATGAATGCCTGATTGCCTGATCTGTAATGGAGTATAAGCTTTTTGAGGGCAGGGACCTTTTCCTTTTCCTGACTGTGTGTAGCCCAGTGTAGTCAATTGGTAGTGTTTAGTATAACCTTGGAGAGTTTTAAGCTGGAGGAGGATGGGATCTAATGTTCACAGCAGATCACTGGCTACCAGGCAGAGAAGAGGAAGCAAGAGTGGGAGAAAGGAGATGGTAAGGAGGCTGCTGTGTGGCCATTCAGGTGAGCTGGGACGATGGCTGAACAAGGACGGGTATGGCCGAAATCAAGAAGAGGTAGACTGCAAATAGATTTTGGATGTAGGACTGATAGGAATTGCTCAGGGCCTGGGTGGGGGTGGGAGTGGGATGGCAGCTGAGGGAACTTCCTCCATTGTCTCTATTTTTTTTTTTTCCATGTAGCGTATTTTATTTTATTGGAGTATAGTTGCTTTACAATGTTCTGTTAGTTTCTGCTGTACAGCAAAGTGAATCAGTTATACATGTATATATATCCACTCTTTTTTAGATTTCCTTCCCGTTTAGGTCACCACAGAGCACGTCTCTTAATCCATTCTGGGATCCGTTATCAGTGCTACCCAGAGGAAAATATTCTGTATGAAGTTCAGCTAACTGTACAGGATGCTAGTGATGTAGAATACAGATTTTTGTTAAAAATTGTTTTTCAGACAGTTCAATGGCTTTTATTATATTCAGAGTTGGGCATCCATCACAACTATCTCATTTCCCTCTAGTCTCTGGCAATCACTAATGTACTTTGTGTCTCTGTGGATTTGTCTTTTCTGGACATTCCATACAAAAGGGATCATACAATACATGGTTCTTTGTGGGTGGCTTTTTTTTTTTTTTTTTTTTTGCAGTACGTGGGCCTCTCACTGTTGTGGCCTCTCCCGTTGTGGAGCACAGGCTCTGGACGTGCAGGCTCAGCAGCCATGGCTCACGGGCCCAGCTGCTCTGCGGCATGTGGGATCTTCCCGGACCGGGGCACGAACCCGTGTCCGCTGCATCGGCAGGCGGACTCTCAACCACTGCGCCACCAGGGAAGCCCCGGTGGCTTTTTTTTTTTTACTTAGCATATATTTTCAAGATCCATCCATGTTGTAGCATGTATCACTACTTCATTCCTTTTTATTGCTGAATAACATTTCATTGTATCAAAATACAATACTTTATCCATTTATCATTAATGGGCATTTGGGTCATTTCTACTTTTGGCTGTTATAAATAATGCTTCTGTGAACATTTATGTATAAGTTTTTGCGTGGATATGTATTTCTATTTATCTCGGGTGTATACCTAGGATTGGGATTGCTGGGTCATATGGTAACTCTGTTTCACCATTTGAGGACCTGCCAAATTATTTTCCAAAGTGGCTGCACCATTTTACATTCTCATCAGAATATGTTTTTAAAGAGAGTTAGAAATAGCTTATAGCATTAAGCAAGTAGCGAATGTGGCGAGAGGCATATATCCAGAATCAGTGGGGTTTGGGAGAAAGCAGAGAGTCCGCCCTCCCCCGTAGTCAGTTGGTGCCAAGCCAGACATCACAGATTTGCTCATGATGTGGGCTGATCTGACACAGAAACATCCAGGCATGTCCCCATCCAGTGTCACATTTGCACTAGATTAAGAAATGGAGCCATGCCGCTTGCATTTTATTCAGGTGCCCTTGACCACCTATCATTGTGTGATGAGTGGTGGACATTGGTTGTCTGGGTGTATATTTGTTAAGAGTAAAACACACCATTTGGGTAAATCCTAGGCGTACCTGTTGCTAATTTCACCCTTGTAAATTGTTCACCTTATACTTTTCACTCCACTTGCTAAGAGGTAGCAATTGTTAAATCTGACTCTTATGCTTGGGTTTACAAACTGGATTTGGTTCTTTGCTATCTTGTGTCATTATTACTATTGCAAACTCCAGGCCAGGATAAAACCTAGCTAGACCCAGGGAGAATGTGCTGGAGTCAGGAAACTAGCATCTTGCTCTCGTGGTAACTGAGCTATTTGAGTTTTCTTGAATTAAGCTGTATTTATTAATAAACTTTAAAATTCATTTTATAGAAGTTGCTGTTCTCTCAAGCTGTTTTAATATATCACATCTGTATTTGTCTTACAGGTAACAATTGCTTGTGATGCAGTTCTCAGCTCAAAATCTCCATACAGAAAGCAGGACCCAGATACGTGGGAAAATGAATTACCAGTGTCCAAATATGCAAATAACCTCACCCAGTTAGACAACGGAGTCAGGATTCCTCCAAGGTGAGGGTCAGACAGCAAAATGGAACTTTCCCCCCCAAAACGGGCCAAAGGAATATTTATATTTCTACCTCTTCACTGAATTAGCAATTATATATTTTCTTATCAGATGCCTTTTATTAAAAATAAGCTTGGAAAAAAAAAATAAGCTTGGGACTTCCCTGGTGACACAGTGGTTAAGAATCCGCCTGCCAGCGCAGGGGTCACAGGTTTGAGCCCTGGTCCAGGAAGATCCCACATGCCGCGGAGCAACTAAGCTCGTGCGCCACAGCTACTGAGTGTGTGCTCTAGAGCCCTTGAGCCACAACTACTGAAGCCCATGTGCCTAGAGCCCGTGCTCCACAACAAGAGAAGCCACCGCGATGAGAAGCCCGCACACCGCAACGAAGAGTAGCCCCTGCTTGCTGCAACTAGAGGAAGCCTGCACACGGCAATGAAGACCTAACACAGCCAAAATTAATTAATTATTTAAAAAATTAATTAATTAAAAAAAGCTCAAAACTTCTCTCTAGAATTATCTCTACCTTTGTAGTAGACGCTGACCATGGCCAGCCCCTGCCCTGGAGCCCATCCCCACCCTAAGGTCTCCGGTTGTGAGCACCTGCAGCTCCTCGCTTGAGGGCTTTCTCTGCCTGCCGGAGCCAGGTAGGCCAGTGCACCGGACAGTCAGAAACGCTGCAGAGCCGTGCTCCCTCCTGTGCTCCTGGAACAGCCTTCAGCCAGTGACTGTGGAGTGGAGGGATGAACACCCTAGATCCCTACTCTTAGGTGGGGTAACTGTCTCCTGGAGTTCCGCAGCTGGACTGAGCCCCAGTGGCCCATGGGGTCATCTGCTTGTTCACAGTCCCTGCACTGGCTTCCTGCCCTTTCAGTCTCTCTTCCCTCACTCCCCTAGGGTGCTTCCTGGGATCGCCTCCCAAATGAGCTGTTTGCATTCAAATCTTTGTCTCAGAGTCTGCTTCTGGGGCACCCAACTTACAAAGACGGACAATAGTCTTTGGTTGTCGCATTTTGGCTGGAATGCTCTTTAGGCTCCTTTTGCACCTCCTGTAATCAGATGCCAGTGTGTTTCCAGAGGCAGGTGCTGGAGGGAAAGAGCAGGTAGATTAGGAATGTGTCCCTTCTGGTTGAACCCTGACTGTACTGCATTCTTGTTCTGTGTGGTCTTAGGGAAGGCATGGTTCCTTGGGGCTTTTTCTCCTTTTGATAGTGGGGATGGTAATAATGCTGAAGAGTGTATATTAGAATTAAATGATAATACTTCTGTAAAGCTCCTGGCACATACCTGACATTTGACCTTCAGTTAAGTTGTTTTCCTTTCTACTTAATTTAGATTGTCAGTGTAGTAGAGTTTTGTTTAAACCAGTCTTACTGCTTGTGGCTAGGCTCCACAGTCTCTCATGTAAGGAATTTTAAGGAAATGACCTTTCCTCCTACCCTCAGGTTCTGTGTCTTTTCTAAAGTAAAAGAAACATCTCGAAGGAGCTGGGAGGAGCTGGCCCCCACTGGGGAGGCAGGCAGGTTACTGAGTGGCCCTGCTGCTCTGGAATGGATCTCTGTTAGTCCGCTGACGGTCTCCTGTGACTGCCCCAACTGCACCCAGCTTGAGACACTCCATTTTCTTAGACGTTAATTTTCTAATCACGCCTTGTACTCTGGCTGTGCTAACTGCTGTCTGATGATTTCACAGTGGTTGGAAGTGTGCCAGGTGTGACCTGCGAGAAAACCTCTGGTTGAATCTGACCGACGGCTCTGTGCTGTGTGGGAAATGGTTCTTTGACAGCTCCGGGGGCAACGGGCATGCGTTGGAGCATTACAGAGACCTGGGCTACCCTCTAGCTGTGAAACTGGGAACCATCACTCCTGACGGGGCAGGTGAGTGTGCCTTTACCAACTTGGGAACTTACAGTGGCTCCCTCTTAGATTTAACCAGTGCCTTAATCTCTGGGGTTGGAGGGCATAAGCTCTGGACTCAGCCCGGGTTCGAATCCTCATTCTGCCTCTTGTTAGCTGTGAGATCTTGGGTGAGTTTTCAGATCCTTCTAAGCCTCAGGTTCCTCATCTTGAGGATAATCACAGTACCTCCCTCATAGGTTTGTTAAGATGCATAAGCATTTAGCCCAGTGCACACCGTAAGGTCATGATAAAAGTTTGCTGCTTTTGTTAGTATCTTTCTGAATATCTCTTGGCTAAGAGGACAGAAGCAGGAACCCGGACTTGTGAAGTGAATGTGCATAATCAAACCCACCATTAGAATAGTAGGGGGAAGGCCTAGAGTTCACTATGGGGATTAGTATCATTTTAGGTACAAATGGATTCCTTATGGAGAAGATGGGTTTTAAAGATACTGTGTGTTCAGAACCCCTGACATCAGCAGGCAGTGACGGTGTCCAGTGTAGCAAAGGGTTAGAAGTGGTTCCTGCTTGTACTATCAGCTTCAGAACTGGTCTTCTTCGTGCTCTCACACTGTATGTTAGCTTTTGGCTATGTTTATACAGTTAATTCCTTCTATCATTTGGTGAGGGAAAAGAGAAGTTACATCAGGGTTAATAATGAGAAACTTAAATACTGAGCAGTGGCCATAAGAGCCCATCATCTCAGCATCACTGAAAACACTTAGGAAGCACAGACCTGCACTCACACCCAGGTCAGTTTCTCCATCTGTCCAGGTTTTAATCTTTATTTCTTCTTTACTTTAAGGTAAGATGATTTTTTTAGGAAAAATATAAAGACATTTGGCTTTTCTTCTCGGCTATCTTTCTCTGACTGAATCAGCCAGCCTCAAAGTTATTTAGTGAGGATGTTTTCACTGAATGTGGTACACTCTTTGTCAGCCACGCCCTCTCCATCTAACTGGTTTCATTTATCTGTTTTATAATTGAGGGCTGGCAGTTACGTCATGTCTAGATTCTTTTGATTCACCTTTTGGGTAAACTTCCAAAGTTTAGTGGACTTTTTTTAACTCATTAGAGAAAAGTAGCTGCAAGAGTCTCAGGTGCTGGTGCCAGACATTTTCCCCTCAAATAAATAAACTGCTACACAACCCAGGTTGAACCCTAAGCCTTCCAGGATCTGAAGAGGAAATTCAGGACATGCAGTTGGATTCAGGGTTACAGCAAAGTGCTTACAGGTCATTGCTCTGTTGAATAACTGCTGTATATGGTAACCATCATTGTTCTTGTAGGGCCTATAGAGAGAAAGAAGAGTTTGTAATGTAGGCATTCTATTGGGTACAATTGTAAGGGGAGGATAATTCAGATGTTTCTACTTTTAGTGCTATCTTATGCAGAGCCTTTTTTTTTTTTTTTTTTTTGCGGTACGCGGGCCTCTCACTGTTGTGGCCTCTCCGGTTGCGGAGCACAGGCTCTGGATGCGCAGGCTCAGCGGCCATGGCTCACGGGCCCAGCCGCTCCGCGGCATGTGGGATCTTCCCGGACCGGGGCACGAACCCGTGTCCCCTGCATTGGCAGGTGGACTCTCAACCCCTGGGCCACCAGGGAAGCCCCCTTTTTTAAAAATTGGAGTACAGTTGATTTACATACAGTGTTGTGTTAGTTTCAGATATACAGCAAAATGATTCAGTTATACATATGTATATTCTTTTTCAGATCCTTTTCTGTTATAGGTTATTACAAGATATTGAATATAGTTCCCTGTGCTATACAGTAGGTCCTTGTTGTTTATCGATTTTATATATAGTAGTGTGTATCTGTTAATCCCAAACTTCTAAATTATCCCCCTTCCTATTTTCCCTTTGGTAACCATAAGTTTGTTTTCTATGTCTATGAGTCTGTTTCTGTTTTGTAAATAAGTTCATTTGTACCATCTTTTTAGATTCCTCCTACAAGTGATGTCATATGATATTTGTCTTTCTCTGTCTGACTTACTTCACATAGTATGATAATCTCTAGGTCCATCCATGTTACTGCAAATGGCAATATTTTATTCTTTTTCATGGCTGAGTAATATTATGTAGTGTTTTGATAAGACCAGTTATTAGAAGTCCAGCTCTCAGAACATCCTGTTCAAGACAACAATTATTTGTATATGGGGATTTGTTCTAAAATTTTGCTTGAGCTATGTCTTTTTCATCTTTAAGTTCCAAACAAAATCTTATGCATGGGGCTTCCCTGGTGGCGCAGTGGTTGAGAATCTGCCTGCCAATGCAGGGGACACGGGTTCGAGCCCTGGTCTGGGAAGATCTCACATACCATGGAGCAACTAGCCCCGTGAGCCATAATTACTGAGCCTGCGCGTCTGGAGCCTGTGCTCCGCAACAAGAGAGGCCGCGATAGTGAGAGGCCAGCGCACCGCGATGAGGAGTGGCCCCCACTTGCCACAACTGGAGAAAGCCTCGCACAGAAACGAAGAGCCAACACAGCCATAAATAAATAAATAAATAAAATTTAAAAAAAAAAAAAATCTTATGCATGTAGGCATGGATACTTCGATTAAATGAACCAGCTGGTCTATAAGTACTTAAATAATTATATTCTATTTAAATGTATGCTAGTAGTAAAGGCAAGGATTAATTCTATTCTCTATGCATATATTTAAAAAAAAATTTATTTATTTTTGGCTGTGTCGGGTCTTACTTGTGGCATGCGGGATCTTTCATCGTGGTGCGTGGGCTTTTCTCTAGTTGTGGCACACAGGCTCCAGAGCGCACGGGCTCAGTAGTTCTGGTGCGTGGGCTCAGTAGTTGTGGCTCGTGGGCTCAGTAGTTGTGGTGCGCAAATTACTCTTCATGTAATTGAGAGTATTTGAATAAATACTCTTTTTTCAACCATAGAAAGCATAAAATATTGGCAAAAGCGATGTAGAATGTGCACCTGTGATGAGGATTCTTAAACTCGCTTAGCTGAGGCAATGTTCACTTTTTTTAATGACTATTTTTTAAAAAATTATTGTTTTTTATTTTTTTGGCTGTGTTGGGTCTTTGTTGCTGTGCTTGGGCTCTCTCTAGTTGTGGCAAGTGGGAGCTACGCTTCGTTGCGGTATGCGGCTTCTCATTGTGGTGGCTTCTTTTGTTGCAGAGCATGGGCTCTAGGCGTACGGGCTTCAGTAGTTGCAGTGCATGGGCTCAGTAGTTGTGGCTCATGGGATTAGTTGCTGCACGGCATGTGGGATCTTCCCGGACCAGGACTCGAACCTGTGTCCCCTGCATTGGCAGGTGGATTCTTAACCACTGCTCCACCAGGGAAGCCCATGTTCACTTTTTGACAATAGATCAGGATTTGATTCTGGCTTCTCTTGTGCAGAGTTGGTTTTAATGCAAATAATTATTTTCAGTCTAATTATCATTACATATTAGTTTATGGGATGCATCAATTCTATTTTCATTTCTTTTAAATCTGTTTAATAGATTGCTAGTTGTAGCTTATTGTTTATTTAAAAAGCCAAATAAGTTAATGAAAACATGTGTAAAGTTTCTATAAATGTCTGATGATGGGCCTTGTGGATGTTGAGGCCCAGGAGGGTAGGGTGCCCTCTGTGTGGGGGTGGGGTGGCCCTCTCCTGATGACGGTACCACTGGTGAGGGTCCATCTTCCATACTTGCTAGGCTCACTGAGGCTAATTCAACTCACAAGAGACAAAGTGTTCAAGTCGGGGTGTTTAGTATTTAGTTTCTAGTGAGAACCACAACCACCTGTAAGTGGGATGTTTATGTCAACTCGACCAGTATGTTCCCTCCCTGTGGGAAGCTGAATTATATTTAGAATATTGCTTAGTGAACATGGAATCCAAACAGGTTGTGAACTCAGATGTTTAATGGTTGTGTGATCCAGTCGTCCTGGTTTCCTTCTCTCCAGTAAGGACATACCTGCTCAGTGAGAAACTCCTACTCATCTTGAGGTCTCAGCCTAGAATTAGTTCTTCCAGGAAGCCTTGATCCCTCCAGGCTAGGCCATTGTGGTGGCTGGGTAATAAAAGTGGGCCCCATATCGAATTCCACTCTGGGTTCCATGGGTACAGCAGCAAACAAAAAAAGAAACAGATCACCATACAAGCAAACAAAACGCTTTCCTCTGTGGGAGGAGACATTCGTTTGGCAGAGCAAGGTTGAGGTTCTTGGTGGGAAAGGAATGAAGAGGGTTGGAGGCAAGAGAAGGTGTGTTTTTCTTTCATCATAGAAATTAGTTTACCTGAGAAGAATCCTCAAAGCCTTGGTGACTACAGGAGAGTCTTCCTGTAATGCCCATGGCAGCAGTGAAATTGCCTATCCCACTGGTCCCTGCACCAGCTCAGCAGCATCTGAAGGTGATTTTTTTTTTTTTTCTGTTTTCCATCCTTTATTGAAAGGTCCCACATCCTCAGGGACCCCAGGCAAACCAGACGCCAGACAGGTCCCCCCAATATAGCAGGAGGCCTGAAAGGGGAGAGGAATGACTTATGATCCCACCACACCTCCCTGGAAACAGAAACCCACCACAGACGGACAGACAGGGCCAGGATGGGGGAGACCTTACCTCCCTCTAGGTTCTCTGCCCTTTGCCCCCAGTTGAAAAGAAAGTCAAACACCGACTATGAGGCACCTCAGCCCCCCACCCACCCTAGCATAGTTTGTGCCCCCCCCCTCGCCCCCCTCGCAAGGGGCAGCACTGAGGCAGCTTCCCGTCGCTCTCCTTCACTTTGGTTTGCTCCTGGCAGCTCCGTGCCCTCTTCCTTCCTCCCTCAGCCTCCGGCCCAGTTACCCCTACATCTTCGATCACCTACTCGGACCTTCTCTCGGGTCTCTAGGGCCTCCTGCCCCAGGGCTTCTGGGGAAGCAGAATCTCCTCCCAGCGAGGGGCTCCGCCAGGCCCTCTCTGCCCAAGATGCGGGGCTCACACGGCCGCCCCACTCTCCTTGAGGTCAGGGGCTGAGCGCTGCCGTCTCAGCCGCGGGGGGCGTAGTGTATGGGGGGTAGCGGGGCCCTGGGGGCCTCTGGGCTGGGTATGGTTGGGGCTGCTGGGGATAATAGTTGTGCTTTTTGGGCTGGAAGTTCTGGGGTTCGGGCTGTGCAGAACCTCCTCCCCAGGATCGGCCCCCTTTGTCCAGGGAATTCCTGCGGGGACTTGGGGGCCTGCGGGCAGGGGTGGCCGGAAAGGGGGTGAGCTCCTCGGGGGCGGGGGTGGCGCTGGGGACTCCCCGGCCCCCTCCCCCGGCCAGGACTTGCGGTGCTGGGGGTTGCTCTTGAAGGTGAAAAGCAGCGTGCAGTCATGAGGGGGCACGAAGTGGGCGGGGGGTCTGCGCAGCCCTCCGCCCCGGTCCCCGGAGCCCTGCAGTCCCTGCAGCCGCAGCTGCTCCTGCTTGAGCCAGCGAAGGCGCCCCCGACAGAAGGCGGGGTCCTCCTCCATCAGCCTCGACACCCGCTCCCAGCTCGACAGGGGCGGCGAGGAGGGCCGCGTGGGAGGTGCTCGGTCACTGGGGGCTTCCTGCTCCGCTGCCTCAGACCCTTGGGGCTGGGCTCGCGTGACCTCACCGGCTTCTTCATTCTCATCCTCGTGATCCTGGGTCAGGGGGATGACCCTCTCCACGTGAAGCATGTGGTCCCTCAGGGCCTGCAGCTCGCGGTCCGTGCTGCTGTTCTGCAGCTCCACCTCCTGCAGGATCCCCGCCAGCTTGTCGGTGTGAGCCCGGAGGTCCTCCACCTCTGCGCCACGGGCTCCCTCCTCACTGCCGCCTGAAGGTGATTTTTCTTCTTTGGTCATCTTCACCCCTGACCTGGGTATCAGCTCAAGGATTTGGATCAAGGCATTGACTACTTCATTTTAGTTTTGACCTGGTTTGTGTCCCTCTGTGTGCCTCTGTGCTGCTCCACTGTGGCACTTTTCATGAGATCCTGTTGCTGCGTCTAATGGTGGTCACCTGGGACGGCAGGGCCTGAGCGCCACGTTTGTTGTTTACTATTCTGTCTCATCTAGCATAGCCCCTCACACATAGTAGGTGCTCAGTAAATATTTGTGTTGTAAACAGATGGAGGAAGACAGACACACCGATAAAGTTTTCTCCTCTGATTTACCTTTTTTTCTTTTTCTTCTTTTTTTCTATTTTATGGACATCTTTTTCCTCTTACTTGTTTTCCTTTCCTGACCATAGTCTAGGCTCTGTCCGGTCTGGGAGTTATACTGTCTAAGGTGATGGTATATACCTCTGCCCTCATTCATTTTGTGTTTGGGTTTCTAGATTAATTGCTGGAGCATTCTCTTGTTTCTGTTCTTTTCCTGTCTGTGGCAGATGCTCTATAGGCATGCAAATATAAACTCATGGTGGAGAGATGCAGTTTGGGTGAATGGATCATACATACTCTGGAGAGATCCTTTCCTCTCTGGCTTGTGACTTGGTGTTTGACCAAGAGTTCTGGGTTTTTTTGTTTTTTCCCATTTGAGCTGTGATGATAGAGCAGTGAAGCCAGCTTCTCTGGTTTCTTTAGTCTTTCTAAACACCAGATCTTGTTGAGGTACATCTCTACCTCTCTCTCCTTCTTCTTTCCTGTGTGGGTATCTGAGGGCAGAATTTGGACTTCTGCCATTTTCTGGGGCTTAGGAAAGAGAGCCCAAAGTCACATGAGGAGACCGTAGCCAAGAAGACATCTGTTGAGGTCCTTTATACTAAACCAGCATTCTTATAAGACTATTTGAAATAATAAAGTTTAAACTTGTGAGGACAGGGACCCTGCTTGTCTTATTTAATATTAAATCCTCAGTATCTGTATATATTTGGTGTTCAGTAAATATTTGTTGAATACAATGAATGAATCAATAAATGAGTGAATGAGTGAGTGAGTAAATCCCTGTGGGTGAACAAGGATGACCAGTGGTACGCTAGTCCTAATAGTATACCACCATATAGAAACATTTTAATCTTTGGCAATTACTTATAAAACATTCTTTTCAATCAAAATATAATATATTTGGGAAAAAAAGAAAAGCAAAAAACCAAGAAGAAACCTTCCCATTCAGAGAAAAGAAATTATTACCATTTTTATGTAAATTCCTTACAGATTCTCAGTCTTTGTCTCAGTCTTAGTCTCCATCTCTATTCTCTAACCTTTTCCTTACTTTTGGAACTTAATGTACATACTGTTTTCTAACATGCTTATCACATCAATGAGGTTATTCATGCTGTAAACCTTTTCTTTTATCTTTTCCCTTCTGCGGGTCTCTCCATGCTCTCCATGGCTTAATTTGTCATTTAACTTGAAATGAAACAATGACTGGTTTCCTTCTAAAGTAAACGTAGTTACTCATGAAACTGCTTGGACTATTCCTAGGAGGATCTTTCTGTGAGCTTCCTAACTGTGTGTCTTGGCTCCAAGCTTTTAAGTCGAGGAAGGGGTCAGCAGGGTAATACTTGTCAGGCAATGCTTATTTGCTACAGTAGTTTCTGAGCTAAGACTTGACTTTGCTAAGCAGAAGTTGGAAATAAAGTGAATTTCCCAATGAAAAATGTGTAAAGATTTGCAGCTCCTGAGTCTATTTCAAATTTTTTTTCTATGACTACATGTCATTTTAAAATTCTTCATGATTGCCAAGTTTAAGGATCACAGTTCATTTTTAGATTTCTTGTGTGTTACTCACTAAACTGTTTTTGTTATTGGGGTAAGAAGTAACTGTTGTGTCTGACCAAATCATATCATATTTTTGGAGCAGTTAATGACTGGAGATAGGAAATGTTAATTTCTCACTAATTTCTCACTAGGCTGGAGCCTAATGGCTTAAGAACCATAGAGTTCTATGTGATTTTCACTTATTTTGAAATCCTAGACCCATGCCAATGGTGCATTTCTAGCAATCTTATTTTCTCTTGGAGCTCTGATAATTAGAGGCTTAGGGGCTTAGAGGCTTAAAGTCTTAAGTCTTCAAAACTATCTCACTAGTTAATAATAACCAAAGATAAGTGCCTGGGGAGTGTCATTTTCACCTTCCAGCCAATATTTGAGTGGTATTTTGGTGTCATGTGTCATAGATTAAAAATATCGTTGATGTATTTGTTTTAAGCTATTAGTTCAAAGATTTTTTTTTTTTTTGTATTTAAACTTTTTGGAAATTTTTTCTTAATTGGGCTGGGGATTTTGTCTTTTGTTTTTGCTTTTGAGAGCACTGAATTATATTTTAAAAAGGAATATAGATGAAGGCTGTTATTCACAAGTTAAAATGGGCCCCTAAGGGAAGAGGGATAGAAGAGAAAGCTATACAATGTTTAATCTATTAATAATAGAAGGAGTGGCTTTTTTGGGGTGGCAGTGAGTCTCTGTGTATCTGGCTATGGGTCAGAAGGTCACCATAGTTTTTATATATATTACTTTTTGTTCTACTCCTGGTATTGTTCCAAAGAGCAAGAAACTCCTTGAACAGTCTATCTTTTACTGTCCTAAAGAATAATATCTTTATATCTATTTTCAGATTTTGTTTTTCAAATTTAGAAGTGAAGAAATTGTGGTTTTTGCCTCTCCATTCCTGTTAAGGGCCTAGGATGGTGCTTCACTGAGCCTCTTGGTCTCCTGAGAGATCTGAGGAAATAGTCTAGAGCAGAGGGAAAAGGACTGGGCCGGGAGTCAGAATACCTGGGTTCTGGGCCACGTGTGGGGTTTGAGGCAAATGATTTAACTTTTCTAACCCTCGTTTCCTTACATGCAAAATGGGCCTGAAAATGTTTCCCTCTACTGCATTGCACTGCCCTATGACGACAGATAAGGCGGCAGTTTGGATAGCTTTTGAGAACGCTAGGCAGTGCTTCTCAGACTTTGCTGTGCACGTGGAGATCTTGTTAAAATGCAGATTCTCATTCAGTAGGTTTGGGGTTGGGCCCGAGATTCTGCATTTCTCACAAGCTCCCAGGTAATGCTGATGCTTTGAATCGTACCACAAGAAGCCAGGTGTGGTCTAAAGCCTTATGTTGTCAGGGGGGATATTGAGGGTTCTGAGGAGAGAACCCTCCCCTGCCACCCCCAGACACACAGCTTCCCAACACCGGTGTGCCGTGAGTGGGTTACGGACGAGGCCAACATGCTGATCCCTCAGGTCCTGGGGCGGGTGGAGCCTCCTGAGTTACCCCACTGTGCCAAATGCATCGTCTTCTTCTGTGTGCCGTAGGGTGGACGCATTTGGGAAGCACAGCAGTCTTCACAGATCCCTCACCAGCTCTGTGGGGTGTGGACACTGAAGTAGGGAAGAGGGGATGAGGGGGCAGGCGGAGGTGGAGGGTCGTGAGGTGGTAGGTCTGGGACTACCAGAGAGACTATAGAGGGTTCCACAGGCAGAATTTTGTTTTGTCCTGGACCTCACACTGCGGTCCAGCCATTCGGCAGCCCCGAGGGCCTGTGTGTTCTCTGTTCCTCACAGGTTCTCCCTGCGTGGGCAGACGGTGTGGCTGTTTCCTCCATCACTCTTCCCTCCTCCCGAACTTATATCTATGCCACTGGGGTTCGGGTTAGAACAATCAGTGTTAGGCATTTGTATTTGTCTAATTTTAAATTATTTTAACTTTAGACACTGTTCTTTTTTCTTGTTTCAGAAACCTTTTTAAAATTACTTTCTGAAATGTCAAAAGAATTGATATTATGGGTATATTTACAAAAATACCTATTTATTATGCTTATTTTTTATCATCTGTCTTCCCCCCCAGTTGAAACTCACAAGAGATTTTTGTTTTGTTCATTGCTATATCCCAAGCCCAGGGCATAGTAGGAGCTCGGTAAATATGTGTTGATTATTGAATGACTTGATTACAGATCTCAGTGCTTATTTTCTCTTCACCTTCTAGATGTTTATTCTTTCCAAGAAGAGGAACCTGTTTTGGATCCTCATTTGGCCAAGCACTTAGCGCATTTTGGAATTGATATGCTTCATATGCATGGGGTAAGAAAGGTCTCCTTTTGTGTCTATTCCCACTTTGCGGGGAAACTGTTTGGTTTATTTATATAATTCCTATCACACAAATCTTCATTTTATAGGTTTTAATGTTTGCATTTACTTCTTGAACTTAATTAGTATTTTCTTTTGGTTGTCAGCTTAGATTTTTAATTTTTATTTTATAGTAAAAATGGCACCTCATCCAGTACCATTTTGTTTTAGTTGGAGTTTACTTGCAAAATTTCTGTCTCCTTTGATGGAGAGTTGCGTGAATCACTCTTTGTTCACTAAAGGGAGAAGGCACGGGGAGATGACCTTTAAAATAATCTGTGACCAACATCACTTTAATTGATTACAGGAAGGGAAGCAGAGCTCCTGGGGCAGGGGTGGAAAGAATAAGCCAACAGATTGTTGATGGAAATGGTTTGCCTCATTTCATATTGTGTTTTCAGGCTGGTATCATGACTGTAATATTTGTCCCTTTGAGGAGCTGGTTAACTGTGCGTGTTTTGCTTTAGCCCATGTCATCTCCCTCTCCTCATGTTCTCTCTAACTCCTCTTTCTCACTCATGTCACTTTTTTTTTTTTTTTGCGGTACGCAGGCCTCTCACGGTTGTGGCCTCTCCTGTTGCGGAGCACAGGCTCTGGACGCGCAGGCTCAGCGGCCATGGCTCACGGGCCCAGCCGCTCCGTGGCATGTGGGGTCCTCCCGGACCAGGGCATGAACCCGCGTCCCCTGCATTGACAGGCGGACTTTCAACCACTGCGCCACCAGGGAAGCCCACTCATGTCACTTTTTAATTTGTTTTCTGTGCTCTTCTTTAAACCTCCCTCCCATGTCGAGCTTCTCCCGAACCCCATGGTTTTATTCCACTTTCTTCTCCAACTGCCTTGCTTTTTGTTTGCTGTGTTGCATTGTATCTGCCCTTGAGATTATTCTACTTGCTTCTTTTTTTTGATTCCTATTTGTCTTCTTCCTCCTCCTATCTCCTTTCCTCCCAGTCTCTGTCTCTTTTATTTTAAAATCTTTTAAATGGGGGTTTTTCTTAAATTGTGGAGAGATACAATGTAAAATTTACTGTTTTAACCATTTTTTAAGTGTACAATTCTGTGGCATTAAGTTCATTTGTCTTGTGCAACCATCACCATGTTAGTCTTTTTTAATGAGGTTGTTTATTTCTCTGTTTAACTGGGGAAGAAAGGCAGAAACATCTATTGCTGTTAGAAATAATTGGTGGGACATGATGTTTGAATGATAAACATTGTTAAAGTTGTATTTCTTCAATGACGTTGCCCCAGACAGAGAACGGGCTCCAGGACAATGATAGCAAGCCGCGGATCAGCGAGTGGGAGGTGATCCAGGAGACGGGGACGAAGCTGAAGCCCATGTACGGCCCTGGATACACGGGTCTCAAGAACCTGGGCAACAGTTGCTATCTCAGTTCTGTGATGCAGGCCATCTTCAGCATCCCGGAATTCCAGAGAGCGTAAGTGTCCCGTATAGACCAGGGTGCACAGCCTGCCCTGCATCCCCTCCGCGTCCAGTCAGGCAGTGTGTGCTGAGGAAGCCCTTTACCATCTGTGCTGTGATTTCCCGCATGAAGCTGGGTGAGAACACTTGTCAAGTGTTATGGGGATCAGGTGAGATAAGAAGAGATTTGTAAACTGAAAAACCACCTACAGGGATTTGTCATATTAATAATGGCTTCCAATTTTAGACCAATACCCTCTATGCCAAGAAAGTAATAATCATTAAGCTTCACAGCAAAACTGCCACATCTCTTCCTATAGATGCGCTAGGAGAGGTTCGGTGATCTGGTTTCAGTGGTGAGTAAGTGGAGCTTCTAAGAGGATTTAAGCTTTTCTTTTTTTGCTACTCAAAATGTGGTTCGTAGATGGTGCTGGTCCTTGGACTGCTGCATGTGGATCCGAAATGAGACAGGTATGGAAATTGAGAGTGAGCATTCAGAAATTGTGGTGGGCCTTTGACGTTGCCGTTTTTTATAAGTGGCATTTCATTTTTTCAGTACAGTTGACCCTTGAACAACGTGGGTGTGAACTGCACGGGTCCACTTATATGTGGATTTTTTCAATAAATACGTACTACCGTACTACAGGATCTGCGGTTGGTTGAAACCATGGATTAGGAGGAACTGCGAATCCAAAGGGCTGACTGTAAAGTTATGCGTGGAATTCCGATTGTGCCGAGGGTTGGTGCCCCTGATTCCCGTGTTGTTCAGGGGTCAACTGTAATTTATTTTTATTGTATTTTTAAAGGTATCATCTATATGAGTTGAAATCAACAAATTAGCTGGCCCTTCACCACAAGTAATTGGGAGGCACTGATTTAGGGTGCTTCCCACCTGTACATGTTCAGGCTGCCTGCTTCCTCCCTTGCTGAGGGGCAGAGGGGCTGTGTCTCTGGCCCTTTTCTTCCTTCAACTGTGCTTAGGACAGGGAGCCACAGAGACTGGTAGCTGCAGCTCATGGGCAGCCACTGCCTCAGTTTAGGAAATAATCTCTAGTGTTTCCCAGAGCAGGTAGGATTCGACCTTGGTTCAAGTATGGAAGAGGACACACATGTGCTAAGACAGAATGACGGGCAGATAGCACGCTAGGGACAGCACAGGGCAATTTTTAACCCACGTGGAGTTGAATGCTAATGATTTTAAAGGTAGTTAATAAAAGTATATCAGATGTCCTTTTCTTTCCTCTCTTGGTATTTGAAGTCTTACCTCTTCATACTGTTCCTGGCTTTGGAAATTTATGGTCAGTTTTCCATGTCAGGTTTTAATTTTTTCCATCCAGCCAATAAAGAGTGGGTTCTGCTCTGCTCAGCAGTGTGCTGGGTATGCGGGGTTCAGTGGTAAACAAAAGGACCTGGTGCCCAGCCCCAGTTGGGGAAACAGACATTAAATAAATGTAGACCGTCCCCAACTTGTGATGATTCGACTTAAGATCTTTTGACTTCAAGATGGTGCAAAAGTGATATGTGTTCAGTAGAAACTGTACTTCGAATTTTGAATTTTGCTCTTTTTCTGGGCTAGTGACAGGAGGTACATACCCTCCTGTGACGCTGGGCAGGGCAGCAGCCGTAGCTCCCAGGCGGGCACGCGACCCTGAGGGTAAACAATTGATATGCCTACAACCATTCTGTACCCAGACAGCCTTTCTGTTTTTCCCTTTCAGTACAGTATTCAGTAAACTAGATTGGATAGTCAACACTTTATTATCGAATAGACTTTGTGCTAGATGATTTTGCCCAACTGTAGGCTAATGTAAGTGTTCTGAGCATGGTTAAGGTGGGCTAGACTAAGCTTCAATGTTTGATAGGTTAGGTATTGTAAATGCATTTTCAATGGACGATATCATCAACTTATGATGGGTTTATTGGGCTGTAACCCCATCCTTTGCTGAAGAGTATCTGTAATCATAAGAACAACTGCATGGTTAAAAATATGGTAAGTTCCATGAAGGAAAAGGGAAGGAGGTGGTCAGGGAGGATCTCTTTGAAGAAGGGACACACAAAGGGATACTCACCTTGACTGATGTGCAGGGGGAGTGTAGACAGGGTTTTGGAGAAAAGGAGGAGCAAGTTTGAAGCTCTGAGATGCGAAAACCTTTTCAGAGATACGCATCATGCATTGTATTATTTTTATAAATTCTTACCCATGTCTCATACCTGTTTTATCATTTGATTTGGAAACAGTGTAGCTTCATCTTATCTGTCTCATGCTCCAAGATTTTTTTTTTTAACTATTGAGGGAAAGTCCTTATTGTAGGTGTTGTATAATTATTATTTCTTTTAAACTAGAATGGAAGACACTTATATTCTTTTGTTACAAAGCTCAACAACAGTTTTAGTGCTTTACAGCCTACAGTTTTTGAAAATATTTTCTACACTTCAAAGTTTGATGAACAATTAACTTTCTGAATTTTTTCTTCAATGAAAAAATGTACCTCAGGGCTTCCCAGGTGGTGCAGTGGTTGAGAGTCCGCCTGCCGATGCAGGGGACACGGGTTCGTGCCCCGGTCCGGGAAGATCCCACATGCCGCGGAGCGGCTGGGCCCGTGAGCCATGGCCGCTGAGACTGTGCGTCCGGAGCCTGTGCTCCACAACAGGAGAGGCCACAACAGTGAGAGGCCCGCGTACCGCGAAAAAAAAAAAAATAGTACCTCATGTCTATAATTTGGAATTAAGATTTGAATCTCTCACCTGGTCTCGTTTCAAGGGTTGTAGAATTTTGTAGTATCTAACATTTTGTATTCTATTCCTAAACATTTACTGTATGTATTAGAACATGAGCAACTTATTTTTCATACTTGTCCTCGGTCTTTTGGTTCTTTTACCGAATATCACTGGGTTGAAGTACTTGCTCTTCAAACTACTTTTTCCCCAGTGGGACTAACTCAGTGGAGTTACGTCCAGGACTGGTATCTCCATTTTGTAAGTAGAAAGAGTGACTCACAGAGAGATTAAATGACTTATGCACAACCACGGTGTAATTCGGGAACATCAGCTGGACTCCTTGATACCCTGCCTGCCACTGGAACCCAGTTTACATTTCAAAATAATTCCGATGAGGAGCAAATCTAAATAAACTGGTGTACGAATTGAATGACAACAAAGATGGATTGTCAGGTAGCAAAACTGTTTTTTGCTTTGAAAACCACTAGATTACAAATTGAAGATATAAGTATCGATACTTTAAAAATTATCCAGCATTACTTCTGCCTTTTAAAAATTTTTGAAATTTTAAAATTTTATTTATTTATTTTTAAATTTTGGTTGCGTTGGGTCTTCGTTGCTGCGCGTGGGCCTTCTCTAGTTGCAGCGAACGGCGGCTACTCTTTGTTGGCGGTGCATAAGCTTCTCATTGCGGTGGCTTCTCTTGTTGCAGAGCATGGGCTCTAGGCACGCGGGCTTCAGTAGTTGTGGCTCGCGGGCTCTAGAGCGCAGGCTCAGTAGTTGTGGCGCACGGGCTTAGTTGCTCCGCGGCATGTGGGATCTTCCCAGACCAGGGCTTGAACCCCTGTCCCCTGCATTGGCAGGTGGATTCTTAATTACTGCAGGGAAACCCCTACTGCTGCCTTTTAATTTAATTTTGTTGTAATAGAAGATATTCCTCATTGATTAGAAAAGGAATATAAATTACTAGCAAAATGGACTTTTCTGACATCAAAGATTTATTACCCCCTTTAACGTTATTCTTCTCCATCAACCTTGCCGGAAAGCATAAGGTTTTCACTAATGTTCATCTTACCAGTGGATTTTTTTTTGTCTTGTCAGGTTTTGAGATATGATAAAGACTGGATTGTGAGAGATGATAAAGACTGGATATGATAAAGATATGATATGAGATGATAAAGACTGGATATGATAAAGATATTGTGAGAGAGCTAATGTTTATAATGTTTATCGTGTTGTATATTAATTAAGAATTCTTCAGTGCAACCTCTGACTCTGAATATAGTTTGGTTTATCTATTATTTGGCTTTTGGTCCATTGAAAATTTCTAAACGGAATTGTTGTTCTAGTGATACAACCAAAAGCCATTTGAATGGGACTATTCCAGAGACGTGTGCTCTGTTAATTTTTATGTTGGTACATAACCTTGGATACAAATTCCGAGTTTGTAATCAGCAGGTGCCTAGAAGTTTCTAGTATTTCAGGGATCTAATTAGAGGTCATTACTAACTGTAGTGTATCATGGTTCTCTGCCAAGACTTTACTGCAGTAATGCCTGTTCTGTTGGGTCATTCGGTAGTCAGTTATGAAAATTGGTTGTGTGATTAAATGATATGAATATATTCATTCAACACATATTTATCAAGTGCGTTTTACATGTTAGATGCTGTTCTAGTGCTGGAGATGCAGTCATTTAAAGTCTCTGCCTTCATGGAGATTATATTCTAGTATGTGATCTCTAGAAAGATAATAAACAAGAACATAAATAAATTGTATAGTTGCAAATAGTGATTCATGCCAAGAAGAAAGTTAGCCAGGCTCAGGTGATTTGGAACATGAAAGGGAGCAAGGATCTGTAGAGAGAGCGTTCCAGGAAAGAGACAGCATGATGGCATGACCCTGAAGCAGGAGCGAGCTTGGTGTGCCCAGGGCAGCAAGAAGGGGAAATGGCCGGGGCGTTGTGGTCTGGGAGAGAGGAGTGGGAATGAGGTCAGAGAAGCAGGCAGGGCAGGGTGCAGGAAGGGACAGGGAGAGGGATCTGCTTCTGGTTGCCTCTTCCTAGAGGTGTCAGGCTCAGAGAGTCCAAGCCTCAAGAGGGAAAGGTGAACAGCACAAAGCAGGGGGTGTGAAATAGGAAATGAACTTAAGAAGTGAAAGAAATGATTGTGTGTTGACATATATACGGAATCTAAAAAAAAAAATGGTTCTGAAGAACCTAGGGGCAGGACAGGAATAAAGACGCAGCAGACATAGAGAATGGACCTGAGGACACAGGGAGGGGGAAGGGTAAGCTGGGACAAAGTGAGAGAGTGGCATGGGCATATATACACTACCAAATGTAAAATAGATAGCTCGTGGGAAGCTGCCGCATAGCACAGGGAGATCAGCTCGGTGCTCTGTGACCACCTAGAGGGGTGGGATAGGGAGGGTGGGAGGGAGATGCAAGAGGGAGGGGATATGGGGATATATGTATACCTATAGCTGATTCATTACGTTATAAAGCAATTATACTCCAATAAAGATGTTTAAAAAAACTAAAATAATTCCCAATCTATGTATAATTATTTAAATGTAATGAATTCACTTATACGCTTTCTCTTGAAAAACATGCTTGTTCAATGAAAAAGATATTAGTTTATTCATCTACTTAATTTTGAAGATTGCTCTGTAGACAGACTGACAGATATGTACTCCTGGAAACAACTAATACAGGAAAATATATTTTTGACACGTTTGGAGGAAAATTAAAAGAAAAAGAAATGATTGTGTGTTGAGATGAGAGATGGATGGTTACAGTTAGACTGCTCTGTCAGGTAAACTGGTCAGAAGGAGGGCTTGTGGGCTGCACAAGGGACTGTGGATGGGGCAGGTACATCTGGCAGCGTGGTTCAGGGCACAGCTTGGGCGCCAGGCTGCCTGGGTCTACTCTGGGCTTCATCACTCCCTCTTGGGTGATTTTGGAAGGTACCTAATGCATTTGCACCCTGATTTCTCATCTCTCAAAATGAGGTAACGACAATAATCCCTTCCTCATATGGTTGTAATGAAGTCTTAATCAGGCAGTTTAGGAAACGCTTCAGAAACGGTAGTTGTTACTGCTGTCATTATTCATTTTGACACCACCAGAACAATTCCTAACCTTACCTTTCATTTTGGGGAAGGTAGTTGAGATGGCGTAAGCCAGTGGTCCTTGACTGACTACATGTTAGTCTCACTTGGGGAACTTGTAAAAGATTCCAAATCCCAGGCCTCAGCCTCAGGCAGTGAAATCAGAACATCTGGGGGTGGCTCTGGCTTTCGTATTTTTTCTAGAAACTCTTTAGGGGATTCTAACTCGTACCTGGGGTTGAGACCCATTGATAGAAGCATAAACCTTTTAGGGAGGCCCATGAATATGACTGCAGAGGTAGGAGCTCAGGAAAAAATTCTCTTCAGGTGGGTGATTTAGTGTTGACAGAAAGGCAAGAAGGTCTTAGCTAGGATGATAGCTTATTTGGGTTCTGTTCATCTCTCAGTTCCTATGTTTTGACCGTTGCTTTTCATTTTCTAGGTATGTAGGAAATCTTCCAAGAATATTTGACTACTCTCCTTTAGATCCAACACAAGATTTCAACACACAGATGTAAGTGCCCTGTTGTAATTTTTAAGTATCTGATATAGTGTTCATAGTGGTTTTCTCTGGGTTGCAGAATTAAAGGCAATTCTCTTCTTTATTGTCTGTATTTTTAAAAGTATTCTGAAATAAGCATGTGTTGCTTTTGTAAAAAGAAAAAAATCAGTAAAATTGTAAAGTACTGAGAAAAGTTGAAAATGGAATCAGTATGAAGCAGAATCAAACAGATAAGTTATTTGTGAGTAATTGAGATACAGTGTTCCACCTAAAAGCAGGTGTACTTATTGAAATTTGTAGGTAATTTTAATATCTCTGAGGGGAAACAGCAATAACCGTTTTGTCTGTTTCTCCCTCCTGTCCAGGACTAAGTTAGGACATGGCCTTCTCTCAGGCCAGTATTCAAAACCTCCGATGAAATCCGAGCTCATTGAACAGGTGATGAAGGAGGAGCCCAAGGTATGTGTCTGGGTATTTGCCACACTGAAATGCTGGAAAGAGGAACCTTCTCAGCAAGAGCATGGATTTCCTATGATGTGGCGAATGGTGGCCATCAATTTAGCAAGCTGTCAAAATAGCTCTTTCATTTTAGGGTCTAGGGTGTCTGTCTGCTCTTAAAAATCGTGGTAAGGAATAGCCAGGGTTGGGGTTTCTAGTGGCATTTGCTTCATGGATTATATGTGATTGCCATCATTAGTGGTCTTTAGAAATAATATTATTCATAAAGTAGTGCTGGAATGGAAGGAATAAACGTATAAAAATATAAACATTTTCCCCTCGGTAACCCAGTCTTGGCCCTTGTAGTGTTTGTGTTCTCCTAAGCCTCAACTCTGTTTTGCTAGCGTTTCTCAAGAGGCTGGTTGTTAAAAAAAACAACACACATATTCCTATCCCGCCCCTAGAGCTGAGGATTCTGAATTTCTGGGGAGGGCTGGGCAGTCCTCATTTTAACTAAGCTGCCAGGGAGTTTGTAAGCACACTCCAGTATAGGAAACTCAGTTGGCCATTCAGTCACTATTACTTGACTCATTGAAAGATGTGCTTCATCTCCTAATAGCCAGACTCCCATTTCCATGTGCCTGCAGGTTGGGCCACTGACCCCTCCCTGGGCTGCTCTGTTAACGCAACTCCAGATGGCGCCACTCGCAGCCTGGCCTCTTGGAGTGGTGCCCTTGGAGTTGTGCAGTGCGCAGCTTACACAGCTGTATTTGGCGGTCTTGGCTCCCACAGCTGCAGTCATCCTGGGTGGAATGCAGGCCCCGCTTCCCTAACCCCTGCTCTGCCTCCAGGGTACCTTGTCTTGACTTAGTGGGCAAGTTCTTTCAGTTCTGTGTCTCAAGTGTGTGACCTCTGTGCTCCCAGCTTAAGTCAGTCATCCTTGACTAATGCCTGCAGACTGAGAGCAAGAATCGAAAGGGAATAAGTTCTTTTTCATCGGGAAGCCAATTAGTTGGGGAAATGGAGCAAACAGGAGAAGAGAGACTAGGAAGGGAACATACAGAGGCAGTGTCTGGGGGTGGGGAGAGGGAAGTGGGTTGTGAGAGGGTGGAGAGGGATGTAGACATTCTGAGGGCCAGGCCTGGAGATCAGAGTGTCATGGCCAGGCAAACCTAAGTCCTCCAGTAGCATTGTTATCTAGCATTGCAACCATGAGTCCCTTATCCACGCCAGACAGGAAGACCCCAAGTTGGGATGCAGTTGAGGTGGTCTGGGCTATCAGGTTATCCAGGCTTCTTCTACCTCTGAGCTCCTGTGGAACTTTGAAGAGGTGTTGGTGAAAAAACTTGGCCCCAAATGTTGTTTTTGATCACATTTATCCTGGGTGTTCATCCAGGCTGTCACTTCTTGGGCCACTCTCGGGGCAGAGTCCACCTGCCCTGGTGGAGGAGATGGAGACTAATTGGGACTCGGGAGCCTGGCTTCCTCTCCTGCCTTTGCAAGGGATCTGGAGACTGGGGGCAAGCCCCGTAACCTTTCAGTCTCAACCATTAAATGGAAGATTGGTCTCGCTGGCGGTTGTGAATAGTGCAAGTGTGAAGGTCCCCTCTCTAATGTAAATAAAATCTGTGTACAGTACAGGACGGTTGTGCTTTTGGAATCTCCTCATTTGAGAAAATGGGAAATGAAAACTCATCAATTTAGCAGTGTTTGGAAGGAAAATTTGGTTTTAATATCACAATATCCTTTTACATTATGAAAAAAGGTAGTTCTTATATAAGTCATATTCTTTATTGAGTCTGTGAACAGCTGGGGACCCTAGTCCCCTCCCCACCATTAGATTAGCGTGGTAGCTGTGTGATCTCCAGGGGTCTGAGGCTTGCCCTGCCCTGTCTGGTTCAAGGTGTGAAACCCGGCAGCACTTGGACCATATCTGTCTTGCAGGTGTGTTTTGCTTGCACCTCGCCCCGTCCCCAGAATCTGACTTTCCAGCTTCTTTTAAACACTCAGAGCCTCTGGCAGTCCCAGGCCCGTGACAGCAGTGGCTGGAGCTGAGTAGCAGCCCTCCCTTCATACAGGACACACTGTCCCCAGCTGGCCCCAGTCCCTTTGTGATTCGTGACCTGGCTGGTACGCTGGGTATTTGGGTATGTGACCCTTGATCTAGATGATTTGTAAAGTCCTTTCCGTGCTCCGACATGCCAGGATCAATTGGGTCCCTTTAACATTCAGAATGAGCTTGAGTTGACCGTATGATTTTCTTTGTGGCCCTGGAGGTGCCAGTTTCAAGCTATTACTTGAACAGGCAAGTAACTCATTGTAAAATCTCCACTCCTTGACAGTGGAGAGAATTACTTTCTGAGGCATCAGGATTTTCACTGGCATTTGGTTTCAGAGAAACCAATTTGTGAGAATCTTTCTTCTTTCAGGTCTCAGGAGCCCTTTGGTCAGGTGGTCTTGTGCTAGGTCTCTGGTGTTTGTGTCTTATCTTGTAGATGAGCCTGAAATGCTCCAAGAGATGAAAGAAGATGTGCTGAATCAAAGAAGAGGATAGATTACAAAAGAATGTGTGGTGCAGGGGAGAGAACACAGAGCCATGTGGCAGGAATGCTTTTTTACAGGGTCACCACCAGAGATACCAATAACTAGCATTACACAGTGCTTACGAAAGGCCAGGCCCTTCCTGTATGTTCACTGATGCAGAAATGGATGCACAGAATCCTAACCTAAAGTTACAAAGCCAGGGAGTGGGAGAGCTGGGGTTTACACCAGGCAGTCTGGCCCTGAGTGTGTGCTGTATTGACCACTGCACCGTCCTGCTTCTCTAACAGTTGTTCCAGTACTTGTTTCAGGCTCCCAGTGCCTCAGTGTGTAGATGCTGGTAGGTGGATGACAAAAGGGGCTGCTTATATTAAAAAGAATGAAATGATGCCATTTGCAGCAACATGGATGGACCTAGAGATTGTCATACTGAGTGAAGTAAGTCAGGCAGAGAAAGTCAAATATAGTATGATAATCTGCTTACATGCAGAATCTAAAAAAAAAAACCAAAGATACAAATGAACTTATTTACAAAACGGGGGGGAAGGTTGGGGGGAAGGGATAGATTGGGAGTTTGGGATTGACATGTACACACTGCTATATGGAAAACCAACAAAGACCTACTGTGTAGCACAGGGAACGCTGCTCAATATTATGTAACAACCTAAATGAGAAAAGAATTTGAAAAAGAATAGGTACATGTATATGTATAACTGAATCACTTTGCTCTACACCTGAAAGTAACACAACATTGTTAATCAAATATACTCCAATATAAAATAAAAAGTTAAAAAAAAAAAGGGGTTGCTTAAAGTTTGTGGAATTACCAGGTAGCCCAGTAACTTGGGCTACTCACATCTTGGGTCATTTCTAAAATATATACTTCTGGATATTAAGTTGCTCTGCTACAGACCAAGGTGAAATCTAGTTTTTATGTATGCATGCTTAATACATATTTCATCTATAAAAAGATTTGCAGTGTTTTTTGGGGGCACTGCCATTTCTGTATAAATTTGTTGAATTGATTTTTAAAATTAAATTGCATCTATAGTAGCTAAAACCTCCTCACTATAAAAGGACACTTTTTCTTCTTCAAAAAATAATATTCCTGGGCTTCCCTGGTGGCGCAGTTGTTGAGAGTCTGCCTGCCAATGCAGGGGACATGGGTTCGTGCCCCGATCCAGGAAGATCCCACAGGCCATGGAGTGGCTGGGCCTGTGAGCCATGGCCGCTGAGCCTGCACGTCCAGAGCCTGTGCTCCGCAACGGGAGAGGCCACAACAGTGAGAGGCCCGCGTACCGCAAAAATAATAATAATAATATTCCTGATCTTTATGCATTCTAAGACAGTGCTTTCACACAATTTAATGCTGAATACTCCATAATTTATTTCTCCTCCTGAAGATAGCACATTATTAACAGTTCTGTATTCCGAACAAACTGTTTCTTAAGTGACAGTTCATTTAATTTCCCATCTAACTAATCCTTGACACAGAATTGCTTTTCTCAGTTTTTAATCAACATGATATAACCAGGGTTCTACTTCCAGATGATGTAATTTTAGCTCCAAACATAAGAACTTTGTTTTCACTAACCTCCATTTTCCTACTTTGGGCAAATGTAACATTTCTGACTCATCTTTTGAAATACGAAAAATAGCTTGGGGGAATACCCTCTGTTCCTTTAGCTTAGGAGATTTGGGGTTTGGACGTGAGTTAGGAATTACTGGTCCAAGGTTTATGGTTTAAGGTTAAAAATTTAAATCAGCAGATGACATATACCTGTGTTTGGGGACGGCTGAGATGCATGTATTTTTTTTCATTCCTGTGATCTTATAATGTAAGCATCTGTACAACCGTTGCTCTAAAGTGATATAAAGTCTCATCTTGCTGCTTGTTTATTAATTAAAGCATTAGCCTCAGAGGAATATGAGTGGACACTGGCTGGCTGCCTTCTTGGTTGCAGTGTTAAACAGAAAGTTCTGTGTAAGCATTTGGGAAAGATTCTGAACACGGTAGTCCTCTCTCCAATTTTAGCTGATCTGTTTTGCAGTTGCTGATGGAGAAAGTAAGTACAGCACCCTATGACTATGACAGGTTCCTTAGGTGGGTGCTATTTAGGAGACTATCTGGGGCTCCCTCTTATAAAGTTAGTTGTCAAGACTAGCCTTTGCTTCTGGGGTCCGAGGGGCAGCTCACAGCAAGAGCAAGAGCTTCCTGAAGGCGGGTCTGATTCTTGGTCAGTTTGATCTCTCTAGCCTTGTTTGGTGATGGGCCCGTAGGGGACACTCAGGTGATGACACTGACCCAGTGCCAACCAGGAAACATGTTATTTCTTTGATTTACTTCTTTGGTTCTTGTTTATTTATTTTGGCGGTGCCGTATGGCTTGCAGCATCTTAGTTCCCTGACTAGCGATTGAACCCGGACCACAGCAGTGAAAGCGCCAAGTCTTAACCACTGGACTGACAGGGAATTCCTTTTGGTTCTTATTTAGGCTTTGGTTTCTTTGAAGTAACTGCCTTATTCTAGAGCCTGACCTTTTAAAAAAATTATTTAAATATGCAAATATACACACACGTAGAGAGCAAAGTATAATGAGTCCATGTACCATCATGTAGCTCAGCAGTCACCATTACTGCCAATATGGTTTCATCAGTCCCTCCTGAGCTCAATTTTTCCCTTCCCTTCCTCTCCTTTCCCCACAGTATTTTGACACAAAATCTAAGCATCATCCTTTTCCCCTGTAAATATTCAGTATGCACCTGTAACTAGAATACCTTCTTTTTTTTTAAACATTAATATCATGTTGAAAGTTGCTTAAAGTGTTACAACAAAATGTATCAGCCAATACCCAGCCCACATATAGATTTTCCCCTGCAGTATCCAAGACATCTTTTCAGAGTTCCCCTCTTTTTACAAGCGATTGGTTTGTTGAAGGAGCCGGATCATTTGCCCCAGGATTGCTCTAATGATTGCTTCCTTGAGGTATTGTTTAGCTTGTGTTTCTTACAAGCTGGAAGTTAGATCTGGAAGCTTCATTAGATTCAGGCTCATTTTTTTGATAACCTGATTTTCTATCAGACATGAAGCGAACATAGTAATAGTTGAACATGGGAATTAGTGAGACCCCCCCCTCAGAAATCAGAGATGGAATAGGTGTGGGACGTGGGTGCAGGCAGAGGGGTCAGCTGATGGTTAGGCATTAAGTGTGGGGAAGCCGAGTTTGAGATAAATCCAACCCAGCTGTGAGAGCCAGGAGCTGGTCTGCCGTGAGATGTGGGGAGGGAGAGGCAGCATCTCTCCGGTTAGGAAGCTTTTCAAATAACTTCTCAGTGACCATCAATTCTCAAGCTATAGCTTGTCTGTTGCACCAGGGATTAAGCAAGGTCAGTTGAGGGAAAACAAAGAACTGGGCACCAAGAGAGAAGAGGCTTGGGAGGGGAATGAATGAGGCTGGGCTGCAGTCCAAGTGGGGGGCTGAGTCTCTGGAGTTTTCACCAGGGTCTCCATTGAAACGTCTCCTCCCAGCTGTACAACCACGTGGTGGCACAGAGCAGCAACCAGCTTTTCAGAATCTGTTTTCAGCAAGTTAGTAAACTTTTCCAAGCAGCTGCTTTGATGGGGACTGGCAGCCACCTCAAGTTCCAAGCACAGCTTGTAAGAATTAACACCAGCAGCAGCAGGCAGTGAGTGTGTGCTTATGTGCGTGCCTACGCCGAAATGCACAACACGAATAGATGTATTCCAAGCGGTGTCTCTGCACTGCCCAGAGTGGACATGTCATTGCTGGCCTGGCCTGTGATGTTGGCCCCAGGGGTGCGTGGGTTTGAAGAGGGCTTGCCCAGAGTCCAGACAGACTGTATACTCTTCACAGCAACTGGTAAGAGGGACTCAGGTACATCAGAGGTGAGAGCTAGGCACACGTGTGCAACAAGCAGTATTAGGACAGAAGAGAAAGAGAAAGACAGACGGATAAAGAGAGGCTGCGATTGACTTTTCTAGTTGTGTGATCCTGGGCCAGTTACTTAACTCCTCTTTGCCTCCGTTTGCCTCAGTTTGCCTCCAGTTTGCCTCAAGTGGAGAAAATAATAATAGTAATCACCTCATGAAGTTGGGTGATTTAAGTAAGACGCATGTATAAAGTGTTCAGAACTATGCCTGGCACCTAGTGAATATTCATCCAGGTACCTAGAATAGTGTCTGACATTTTATAACACTCAGTAAATTTCTATTGAATGAATGACTAAGTGTTAGTCATTATGCAAATGTAAGGCATTATTTTTGCATGTGTGTGTTGGCTGATACCATGTAGACATAATAGGCATTGTGATTGGGGAAAGTTACAAACTTTTACATTCCTTTTGGGCGGTGTATGTGTGGGTAGTTAAGCTGATCACCATAAATTGGTCTTCACTTAGCCCTAGAAGCACATCTGAAGCCTCGTGTGTGTGTGTGTGTGTGTGTGTGTGTGTGTGTAAGCTGGTCATTTATGTACAGGTTCCAAGCCCTCAGATGCTGCCACTTTGGGGAGTTCTTCTCCCAGAGCTGTCAGCACTGTTTCAAGTCCTCTGCAGTGTTCCCTAACGTTTGTTATAGATACGTGTTGTCTCTCATCACGCCCCCACCCCGCCGTTGTCTGTCAGCTCTTGGAGGGCAGAACCCTGGACGTGTTCTACATGAAGGAGGTGGTTGGGAAATGCTGGATGCCTAGGTCAGGTATATTTTCAGCAGGACAGGAAAACTCACCTGAGTTTTATTAGAAACGTTGCTTAGAACACGTGTGTTGGAGAGATTTTATATGTAGAGCTGCCCTGTGGCGGCAGGGAGATAGCTGTTGGAGTTTTCCCATCACCTGTTGCATCTGACTGTGTGATTGTGCACACCTGTCGTGGCCTCTAGACCCTGGGCATTGACCCTGGTGTCCAGATCTCAAAGAAGTGTGAGACAAGGCCTCCGCCTGCCAAGGACTGCAGTCAGGCGGAGGAGACAGGCTAGAGCGGGCTGAAAGTTAAAGGAAGTAGGAGGCATGTTGTGCTATGTGCTCAGTGATGGCCCAGAGAGCAAGTTCTCTGGACTTTAGAGGAGGGGGAGGTGGCCTGGAAGCTGAGCCTGTGGAGATTTTGAGAAGTGGGTGCACCTTTGCAGAGAGCACATGAGTTACTTCTTCTGCTTGATTGGCAAGGGGAGGTTCGTCTCACTGAGACGTGCTGTGCTACAGCTGCTGCTCTGGTTTTGCTGCCGAGAGCCTGGAATCGGGATCAGAACCTGGGGTTCATTCTGGTTCTGCTCTCTGCTGGCTGCATAGTAATCTGGTCGTAAGACCACTTTCAGTTGACAGACCTTTGTGGCACTTCTCTGCAGTTCTCAGTTTCCTTAGCTGCAAAATGAGGAAGATGGTAGAACCTTCTTCACAGGGTTCCTGTGAGTATTAAACGAGGTGACATGCAGCACCATTATTAGATGGAGACAGCTTTATCCTGAGCTCACCTCTGTCTTTAAAGTTGATGTGGATCTTCCACTCTGCCTCTTCGGAGTATCCCAGGCAGAGTGCCTGGATTTCCTGCAGAGTACAGCATTAAAAAGCCCAGTTCAGGGCTTCCCTGGTGGCGCAGTGGTTGAGGGTCCGCCTGCCGATGCAGGGGACATGGGTTCGAGCCCCGGTCCGGGAAGATCCCACACGCCGCGGAGCGGCTGGGCCCGTGAGCCATGGCCGCTGAGCCTGCGCGTCCGGAGCCTGTGCTCCGCGATGGGAGAGGTCACAACAGTGAGAGGCCCGCGTACCGCAAAAAAAAAAGCCCAGTTCACATTAAAGCCAGTTTAAAGCTTCTCCCGCTACCAAGCTCGGGAGGCTTGGAAACCAGCAGTGTAGAAGGGTCGGCGTCGGCATCCTCCGGTCTTTGTTTGTCCTTGCTCCACCTCTTTGCCTCCTCCCACCCCCTCTGGCCCCTCCAGAGTCAAGGATCAAGGGTTGGGGGGGGATTGGAGACAAGGCAGAGCCTTTGCCTGAGCTGGTGCGTTTGCTCCCTCTTGGCTGCCATGAGTCTTCTATCATGGCCGGCCTTTTTGTGGGGGGCACATTAGTGGTTCTTCACAGATGCCCTCCACCCCTGCTTGTCCCCTCAGGGACCTCCACAGGGACCTTTTATCTGATACCCTCCCCGATGACCTCTGTAACCCCCCCTCTCCCCCCCAGCTCCTGCTGTAGTCTCCTCAGCTGCCCTCCCATCATCTTATGCAGTGTCCTTTCTGGGGGAGCCTGGCTGCCTTCTGAGCTGTCCTTTTAGCCCCCGGGGAAGGTCACACATCCTCGTCAGCCAAAGTTGTCCTTGCTCTTCCCATCCTGGCAGCTGCAGGCAGCCTCCTTCCGCTTCTCCAGGTGAGGGCAAGCTCCTGGGAGCTCCACGAGCCCGGCAGCTCTGCAGTGGTTGCCTGGGGTGTTGCAGAGCCATTTCCTTTACTTTTTCTCCTGTTCTCTCATGGGCGGGGGGTGGGGGTGGGGGACAGGAGATGCTGTAGACCTCTCCTCTCCTTCAACTTCCTTCAGAGGAAGTCAACAGGAAGAGCCCCATCCTGTTCTCATGTCAGGCTCATAGCACAGTGCTTGGTACATAATCAACATCCAGTGCATGCTGGCCGCTATCACTATTTAACTAACGGGGGCTTCAGTTTTCTTATCTGAAATCGGGGCTAATATTAATCCCCACCCTGCTGCCCACTTAGTGCTGCTAATGTGTATGAAAGTATTGTGAGTTGGTTTTATTTTTATTTTTTAGCCTCAGCAGAATGGGATCTCACCACGCATGTTTAAGGCCTTTGTGAGCAGGAGCCACCCGGAATTCTCCTCCAACAGACAGCAGGATGCCCAGGAATTTTTCTTGCACCTGGTGAATCTAGTAGAGGTAAGTCAGTCTTCAGAAATGCTCAAAAGGGTTGTAAGAAGTGTGCCCACCCCTGCGTGCAGTCCCCGCTGGTGTGGCTGGAATGCTCCGCCCCTCCACTCCCCACCTAAGTTTTTCCCTGGCCAGGCCGCTTCAGAGTCGGCGTCTTTGGGCCTTTCTCTGCTCGGACTGCTTGATGTAGTTGCCCCTCGTGCCCGGCCTCCTGGGCGCTTGTGGGACTCTCTGTTCTCCTCCTAATTTGAACGTGTTCTGGGAGTGTTTATCCATTATTTCATTTGCCTTTTTTGTTTTTTGTCTCTGTGATAAGCTCCTTCAGAGTTCCATGTGGTATTTGGTGTCCTCCTGCCATCACTCTGAGATGGTCACTCGGCTCAAAGCAGAGTCGACTCACATTAATAAATGCTGTGGTTTTTTAAAGGCCACTGAGAATTCATGATTAAAGGCTTTTTTCCCCCTCTCTTAAAAAATAACTACTTTTTTCCTGATGACGGATGTGTTCCTTGTGGAAACATAGGCACAAAGGAGAAAATCAAAACCTCCCGTGCTACCTGCTCCCACAAACAAGCAGTGCTAACATTTTGGTGTCTGACCCTTCCCCCCAGGCATTTTCCAGGTGCTATCCATTTTCTACGTGTTGGTTTGTGAGCAGTGTTTTTCACTTAACCTGTTGTGAACGTTTTGCCACGTCATCACCTACTGGAATATAGCATGATTTCTTTTTTATTTCTGTATAATTTACAGTAGTGCATTTATATAATCATATCATACATGGCTTAATTTTTCCAGGGCAGTCCTTGATTTTTTTTTTTCCCCTTTCTCTTTAGTTGGGCTTCCACATCTCCTTTCTTCTAATTCTTTCTGGGTCAGTCCCTCTGACATGACTTTTAACGGCTGCATAATATTAATTCACATGATGAACTATATTTAACCAATCTCCCATTTTTGGACTTTAGGTAACTACCAGTCTTTTCCTGTACTCTGGTGAACTGGCATGCCCAGGGGGAGCGTTTAGTAACACCAGATCTTTACACCAGCTTTAAATTTGATTCTGTGCTAATTTTTATTCATGGCTTAATATCCACAAATTTACTAACTTGTTATAATCCAACCTTCAGAGGAACCGCATTGGCTCAGAAAACCCAAGTGATGTTTTTCGGTTTTTGGTGGAAGAACGTATTCAGTGCTGTCAGACCCGAAAAGTCCGCTACACGGAGAGGGTGGATTACCTGATGCAGTTACCTGTGGCCATGGAGGCGGCAACCAACAAGGGTAACGTTCTAAAGTGGGAAATGAGCAGTGTGCTTCTTCACATGTGAAAACCCTCAAGTCAGCCATACTGCAGTTCAGTCTCTGCGAAGTCATATCAGGAGCAGACCCAGCCCGGACGGTGTCTGGTTTGCATGTCTCTTTTCATCTTTTCCTCAGTCCCCATGTGACTTTCTTTTGACATTTTTGTGGAGGGCTTATGGAGGGAACCTACTTCAGTGCCTATAAATTTGACCAACTGGTTGGTTTAGAGGCAGCTTAATTTAGAGCAAATTATTTGTAATTTAATATTATCACTCACAAGTTGTGTGGAAAGTCTGAGGGGAGTGATCAGAACTGCATGTTATTTTTTGTTTTGTTTTGTTTGTTTGTTTTTTGGCAGTATGCGGGCCTCCCACTGCCACGACCTCTCCCGCTGCGGAGCACAGGCTCCGGACGCACAGGCCCAGCGGCCATGGCTCACGGGCCCAGCCGCTCCGCGGCATGTGGGATCCTCCCGGACCGGGGCATGAACCCGCGTCCGCCGCATCAGCAGGCGGACTCCCAACCACTGTGCCACCAGGGAAGCCCCAGAACTGCATGGTTTTTTTTGGGTTTTTTTTCGCGGTATGTGGGCCTCTCACTGCTGTGGCCTCTCCCGTTGCAGAGCACAGGCTCCGGACGCGCAGGCTCAGCGGCCATGGCTCACGGGCCCAGCCGCTCCGCGGCGTGTGGGATCCTCCCGGACCGGGGCATGAACCCGCGTCCCCCGCATCGGCAGGCGGACTCCCAACCACTGCGTCACCAGGGAAGCCCCAGAGCTGCATGTTTTGATGTGAGACATTCAAGCAGAGAGGGGCCTCTTAAAAATAATCCAGCTTTGGCATCCGAGTAAGATGCCTGTTGTGGGAGATAAAGTGTGGCAGGGCTCTTTGTGGGGCGAGGCTCCCTGGAAGGGTCTCTGGACCTTGGAAGCAGGAGGAAGGTGGGGGGACCTCAGGGGAAGGTTCCTTCAGTCAGTCTGATCTGGTTCTTCCCAAGCAGAATAGATGAATGGTATTTCTTAGAATTAACGTCTTAGAAGCAGAAAAAGGAGAAATATCTGCTAGATTGCTTATTTCCTGTGAACTGGTCATTTTTGTAAGGTTTAATGACTCCCTGGCTGGCGTTTTCCCTTTTTTTGTTTGTTTGTTTGAGGTGTAGTTACTTTATTGTGTTAATTGGAAAATGGTGATTATGATGATTTTAAGATGAAACGATTTCCACTTTCTATAAACTCATGCAGCTTTTGACCAGTTTTTAAATTCTTATTCATTGTACGAAGTAGAAATGGGGGAGGGGTGTCTGTGGTTTGTTTCCTTTTTAGCACTAGGCTTAATTGCTGTCTCTTGCCTACCTTGGGGATACTCACATATTGTGCTCAGTTCTGTGGTCCTAACTCAGAATTTATGAGTGGTAAATCTCCTTTTTTTTTCAGAAAGGAGACTTAAAATTTAGTCTCAGGAAATTGATTGCTGGGAACACCTAATGCTAGCATCCTAGATAGAAGTCCATCATACACTGATTGTGGACTGGGGAATGAACTGTAAAAGCATATTCAGATGTGTTTAAGAAAACACAAAGGTATATCAGTGTGTCTAAAACCTGATAAATCAGAAGGGATTTTTTTGTAACAAAAGAAATTCCCAGAAAGGTCCATTTGAAATCTATATAAAATTTTGACTTACAGGTAGTTTCCAAGAGCAGATCTGCTGACTCTTGGGAAGTTCACGGTGCACTCACTTCTTTTTCCCTTGGTGTGTAACCATTTGAACAGGGATAGTGTAGAAAGGCCTTCTAGGTTGGCCGCTCTGCTCTCCGCAGTGTCGGGTAACGCCAACACGAAGTTGTCTTGGCAGTGCTGGGTAGGATCATGGGCTGGGTGCCTTGGATAACTGCGGTCCTTATAGTTCATCCTGCTCTTTGGCCTGCACCCTCCATGACCTCTAATCATAGTGAAGGGCCGGGAAGAGGTGAGCCCTTGGATTTCTTTCAGTGTGAAATTCTCTGGTGTGAAGACTTTGTGATTAGAGGGTGGTATTGGGATCAAACCAGCCTTGACCTCTGGACAAATGAAAGTCCAGGTTTGTGGATCACTTAACAGCACATGCGTGGTCTGAACCTCTCACCTGGGCGGGAGTTCACAGTCCCCTCCCGTCAGTCTCAAAGGGGAACAGGCAAAAAATTATGAATGGCTCGCTGCATCCTGTCAGTGCCACTCTAAACAGGATTTCAGCAGGCTCCTCTGGCTCTGTGGAGGGCAGCAAGTAAGCAATCCTGCCCCACCCCAGAAACCTTCAGTGAAGATGGTTCATTGCTCAAGGGGGTCTTTTTCATTTCACGAAATTAAGTGATTGCAAAGTCATTCGTTTGCTCTTTTCTTCAGATGAACTGATTGCCTATGAACTAACGAGAAGGGAAGCAGAAGCAAACAGAAGACCCCTTCCCGAGCTGGTTCGTGCCAAGATACCATTTAGTGCCTGCCTTCAGGCCTTTTCTGAACCAGAAAACGTTGATGATTTCTGGAGCAGCGCCCTACAAGCAAAGTCTGCGGGTGTGAAGTAAGTGTGTGCGCGCTTGTGTGGCGGCAGTAGGATGAGGAGGGGGCCTTGAGAGGTGGGGACCGGGTTAGGGGACGGTTGGGGGGCATTGTACAGGTCTGCATGCTTGCTCATGTGTGGCAAGATGGGATTATGATTTGCACAACACTAGTTGTTGTAGACCTCACTTGTGTGAGACCTGTCCAGTAAAACAGGCTTGCTGTGATCTGTATCATGTGCAAGGGAATGCTTTTTTTTTTTAAACCAGGTTGTAGTTTATCCCTTATAGGGAATTTGCGTTTTCTTTTCATATTTTTTTTGTCGAGGGTATAGCCAAGAACCCTCCCCATCCATGGCAAGATGATATTAATGAAGAAATTAGAAAAATACTTATGATAGTCTTAAGTATTTATACTCCACTGTGATAGATTTTTGATTCCAAAATGAAAGATTTGGCTTAGAACTTGGTGGCTGTGTGTACCTGCCTGGAGATCCGGGGTCTCAGGGCATCTCAAAGTGGACATCAGGGCTCCTGAGCATTGTTCCAATGAGCTGCCCAGGATGTGGTCAGGAGATGTTCTGTTTCTATATTGTGAGCCTTATTGTCAGGTACATTAAAAAAAATTTTTTTTTCTCCACTTGACACCTTAACTGATTTAATACAGTCAAGTCTTTGCCGGCACACTTCATATAGCTGGAGAAAGAGTATTTACAGTGGCCTAAAAAGGGGGAAGGTCTAAAAGTTAGGCTCTGGTAGTCTTACTACTTCTAGATATTCTTCAGCCATTTTTCTTCTAGGCTATGCCTGAACTCTTGTTGATATGAAGGGCAGGGGAGCATGGACGAGCTACTGCTGGCTGTTTTTATCACAACTTCAAGCAGCAGTCAAACCTGAATTACTTATTCTGTGTGACAGCCATCTCTCAGGATGCCTCTGTTTCAGATGACGACTTCATGTGTTAAAAATGGGAAAACAAGAATTTATTTCAAGAGCTTAAAAAAAGCTATATTTTCTTACAATAATTTCCTTTAAAAGTTTCTTCATACCTAAATGAGATTAATAATAGTTCAATTATCCATTATCCATTGTGGGGTAAGTTTTCATCCGAGGACTGCTCAGTTTTGGAGTGTGTGTGTGTGTGCGCGCGTGTGTATGTTTGTGTGTGTCCTTGAAGATAACAGTTGGTGAGCTGGCATGTTAAGTGTTCGAGATTCTCTTCACTACAACTTGGACACATCTTTGGGCAGTTAGAAAGCTACACACTATGTTATATTAGTGGTGGACACAACTTTTTTCTTTCAACTTTTTGAAATATATACAACATTGTGTGACTTTGTGTACAGCGTGTTGATTTTTATTTATGTTTTCCTAAATTTAATTATTGACAGTAGGCTGAAGATTCTTCAAACATCCTTTTCTCTTTGTGCTTTAATTCTGATACTGTATGGGGTGGAAGTGATCGGGGGCTTTCTAGGCTTAGAAAGCCCCCAGCATCACGTGTGAGCCGCAGAGTGGTCTTCATTGGCCTGTCCACTTGGTCACCCTTTTGTGCTCTTCAGTAAAGTGGTGGCGAGTCTTCCCTAAGGCCCAGAGAGTATGTCACTCTCTGGGCCTTAGGGAAGGCGCCTTCTCATCACTAGGAAAAGGCCCATCTTTAAAGTGGAGCTAGGAGGTGTTAGCTTTCCACAGAGACAGTTTCTGATCCCTGGGAGATCTGGATTCTTCTCCTGTGTCCACTTCCCAGCTTGCGTTCTATCCTGGGGCAAAGTCGCCACCCAATTCCTTCTTACACCTGAGTGGAGGAATAATGCATGCTGACTTGATTTTCTCCTCAAATGCTACAAAATATTTAGTTGTAGGCAGTGCTAACATAATTAACCTAGAATCCTTGAGGAGGGGTCTCTGTTTTCTCTAAGCCTTAACAGTAGATATTAAATTTTCTCTGTCTTTTGCATACACACATGCTCTTATGGTTAAATGTTTTAGGGTAACAAAGCAACGACCATTATGGCACATTTATTATTCCCGGTTATGTGCTAAGTGCCTCCCATCAGTTATCACTTAAATCCTCTTAGAATTGCTACGAGGTAGGTACATTATTCTCCCTATTTTACAGACGAGGAAATAAAAGAAGTAATTGGCCACTAAGTGGCAGACTTGGAATGCATTCAAGTTCAAAGTTTGAACTCTTAATCCTTGTGTTGTACACTGCCCGCATATTTCTTATTGTGCTTGCTTATGTTTGTATCTTTATAATCCTTGTATAGCCTTGTTTATTCCTTATTATACCTTATCATGTTTCAAATAATAGTTTTGGGGAAACCAGTTCAGTGGATTCCTAAAAGATCTTTTTTTCTTGTTTTTTCTTACTGCCAATAGTATAGACATTATCTCCTTATTATGTTAATTTGGGGCCTTGAATTTTTCTTGTGTTAGACCCAGAGTCTGAAAGGCCAGGAAGAGGCAAAAGATGTCCTCTTGGTAGATCTTGGGTCAGTATGGACCAGACATAAAGAGCCTTCCCTTAATTAGTCCTGAACAGACAGTGACTGGGAAGAATATTAGTGTTTGGAAATTTTATTCACCCAGCAAATATTATTGCTCATCTAGTATATTCTGGGCAATGAATTGAACAAGACCCTCAAGCAGCTCATGGATTAAGGGTCAACAGGGAGAGATTTTGTCTTGACCTTTATCATTTACGAAGAGAAAAGCACGGTGTGGGGTTCCAGAGCACAAGCTTTAGGTAGGCTGGCAGCGTTGGAATCCTCAGCATAGAACTTATTGGTATGTGACCTTGGCCAAGTGACCTCACCTCCATAAGCCTCTTTCCTTATATGTAAACTAGGAATAATAAAATAACTTTCTTTATAGGGTTGAGGTGAGGATTAAGACAGATAAGCTACATAAAATGCTTTGTACAGTGTCTGGTGGAGTAAATATATACTGTAATTGTTACTACATTACTTTTTTTTTTGCCTTGGATTGTACAATTTGGTTGATTATCATGTTTTCAACATATTTAGTGGAAAGGATAGAATTGTATTTTTTTAGCGACCAGGTTTTCAATAAAATAGTCAATTTCAGGGAGAGGGACAGTTTATATATATTTAAGGCTTTCATAATGTTTTTGCCTGAATTGTAATAAGTGAACAATTGTTATATTTTAAATAATAATAAGTTGTCAATAGATAAAGTATTGTTGTCAGGCACTTAGGACATAAAGTTCTAAGCACTTTATGTCCTAACTCAGTTCCCGTAACAATTCTTTGAGGTAAATTTGCTCTGTGTCTGTCTAGACCTTTTTGAATGATTTATATTCTAATGGTATTTATTAAATACATAACTTTTCAAGAAAGATTTTAATTCCAGGAATGATTTTAGGAATAAGAGGGTAAGTGGTGTATAACTTTGCTGGATTTAACAAACTTGATGTCCCAAGCCTCTAATGAATGAATGCCAAGTATTCATTTAGATTGAACACATTTATATTGAGCAGTTGTCACTACATGTGTGATTCAGCTTAAGACCCTATAGAGGTTACAAAGATGAATAAGGAATCTTTACCTATTAGGGTAAATATAATGTGGGCACCATCTAACCTGCTTTCTGGTACTCTTAGGTTGGTAGCTACCCATAACAAAGTGATGTGTTAAATTATCCCTCGCCAGTCCCCCCCAGCCGACCAGCCTCGAGTTTCCTCCACTGCCTCCCACCCCATGGTATTACCGGCTGATTCCTCACCCAGATACTGACTGCAGAGCAACTGCAAGAGTCTTTGGGCTCCTGAACCACAGTTTGGAAATCATTGATTTACTGAGGACTTTTGGTTGATTTCACTATTATATATTTTCCAGTTTTTAAGTGAATGTGGTCAGAGAGGACATTTTTACAGTGGTTGAAAATACCAGATGGAGTTTCTTGGTTTTTGGTGAAACTGAGGATTCATCTATATTTAAGAATGATAATGTATTGATATTACTCCTTCTCAGAAGATAGGAAAACCTAATTAGGAGTAATGTATAATTTCTGGAAAGTGAGGCAGGCTAATGATAGTTCAGCTCCTGGTTTTTGAAGAACTCCTTTATATTATTGCCTGTACCCTTCTATCCTCCTTGTGATGGAGAATTTGAGATCCAGAGAGGGTAAGTGACTTGCCTGTGGCAAAATACAGATCGGTGACAAACCAGGTCAGTGTCCAGGGCCTCGTGGATTCTAGCTCTTTCATGACAAAATAATAATCATGCTGATTCCTTAGATATACACAGCACAGTCTTGTGTGCCAGGTGGTTTCATGTCATTTCATGAACATTGCAAAGCCCTGGCAGGTAGAAATTATTAATAAATCTATTTTGTAAATGTGAAGATGAAGCTTCAAAAAGGGTCCAATTTGGAGTGAATTAAGTAGCATCCAAGCCTTTTGACACTTTTTGGACAGTCCTCTGCCCCTGAACCGTGGCTTCTCTTGTACACTAGGGGGCAGCAATGCATTAGCGTTGTTTTCTGAATTCTGGGAAGATGCATGTCACATAGAAGGCAGTGACTAGATTTGAAAAGTAGAGTTTGTAAGGAGCATGTTCTAGAATCTTTTATTTTAAAAGGTACCTATAGTATCTGTCTACAGCTGATTTTCTTCTTTCCATGTACCTACTGTACCCACATTGACACTTAAATGGAAATGGTCGTTATAAACAAGATAATAAATGTGGAGAGAATGAGCTGGAACCGGGGCATGAATTTGGTGTATAAATTGAATAGTTTGTGCATAAAATTGTCAAACTCACGTTCAGGCAATTAAGCATTCCTGAAAGTCTGAAGTGAAACTTAAGACATTGACCAGATATATTAATTTTTTAATTTAAGGCCCAGATTTAGATATATACACACACCTTTAGGATCCATGTGGCCATGGATTTGAGGTGCAGTAGTATTTTAATGAGGCCCTGGCATTTCCAATAGTCAGGCTCAACCAAATTTCCAATAAACCCTCCTCATGGAAACTCTGTGCTACCAGATAGAGACTCTTAGTGGGAGCAGGTTGGGTGTGTGTCAGGATTGCTCAGGGAGCTTTTTCAAACCTACACAAACACAATGCACAGGTGCCCACACACACCTACAAATACATATACTAAATTCTAGCAAGGGTTTTTAGAAGAAAACAAATGTTTATGGTTGAAAACCACTTTTCAGAAATATAAAATGCCACAGCAAAGTAAAAGTAATAATTTTGCAATGTGCCCAAAATCATCCTCAGGGACAACATGGTCCTCGTTAAACATTTCCTTCTCGTGAAAAGGCCAGGATGAACGGTGAGGTGGTGAGTGTGTGTCCACTCGGGTGTGTGTGCGTGTTCCTCCTCATCAGTGCAGCCACTGGAACTGCGGGGTGTGCCTCAGACACAGCTTTTGATGCTTCGTGAACTGTATTCATAATTCTTATTGCCTTGTTTCATTGATCTAATCCCCTTGTGTTTCCCAGAACATCTCGCTTTGCCTCATTCCCTGAATACTTGGTAGTGCAGATAAAGAAGTTCACTTTTGGTCTTGACTGGGTTCCCAAAAAATTTGGTAGGTATCTTTTGCATGCTTTTGCTTGTAACATCAAATTAGCTATTTAAAAAACATGGCATGTGAAAGAGCCCATGTGGCTGGCTGCCAGAAACAGTTTCATTTCATTCTTTTTCCGTGATTCCCACTTTTCTCTTTTGAAAGATAAGAATATATGATAAGCACTGATAGTAAAAAAAAAAAAAAAAAAAAAAAAATTATTGCCACATGCTAACCCATCCCTCTAATAATGGGTTCTGGAATGACCAGATTCTAAGAGTGAAAACAGGAGCCTCACGTTATCAAACCATGCTTCCCGAACTTGAACAGATCTTGGTAAAATGCAGGTGCTGATTCAGCAGGTCTGGGGGTGGGAGGGCCCAGGAGTGCTTTATTCTAATACATTCCCAGGTGATGCTGATGCTGCTGGTCCGAAAACCACGCTTGGAGGTGCAAGTAATTGAAAATATACTCTCTTCTTAGCATCTCGCCTCTGCCTCTGAAGCAGGCAGGTGTGGCTAATGACATTTGCTTAAGTCATACGCATTTTGTTAATAATAACATGAGTATAGTCAGTTGTATTAAAAAGTCAAGAAAGGGACGTGACTTTGGCTGAAGTGGGGTTTCTTCTTGCTAATCTTAAAGGCCCTTGACCATTGTTAGAGGTTAGCTTTCCAGACAATGCAGAGGAACATTTTCTCCATCATCTCGATTGAATATCAAGGTGTTCCTAGGCTGTCCTCAGGGCCGTGGAAGGATGTACAGTTTTACCCTCTGATTTCTCAAGCAAGTACTTCAGACTGTTTGCCAGTCTTTTAAAGTTTTTATGTTTTTGAGCACTTAAAAAACAACAATCAGTCCCTATGCTGGTTAATTAAGCACTCATCTGCTCATCTGAAGGCGATAAGTAAAAAGAATGTAAAGTCGACGGAGTGATTTCCCAGAAACCTCTGGCACTAACAGTTTGCATAGCACTTGTTTCCACGTGGCATTATGCAGCGTGTGAGCCTGTAGTTTATCCTGCTTTTCCTGGTGGAATAATTTTGTGGGCAGGGAGGAGGGCAGAGGGCAGGCTGCTTGTCACTCAGCCTTTCCTCCTTGGACCTGAGAGAGAAAACTGACTTCTCAAGACTTTGCACTGCTTTGGAAACAGTTTTCTCATTTTTCTTTGTCCTTCGAATATCGGTAAAGGATAAAAAACTCAGATCAGATTTCAGTCTTGCTGAAATTAAAGCAGCCTCAAAGCTTTCTTTAATGAACCTGAAATTTTCTGTTGAGGAACAGTTGTATTGATTTTGTTGGTCAGACATTGTGTTTGATTTTGCTGTCTGCTGAGATTTAAATTTTTTTTTAACTAAGCCTTTTCTTTGGGTGGTGGTTTTAAAAATAGGATTTACATACCTAGCATCATAATTGGTTTTGGGGATAGTATTTTCAGGTTCTGTTTGCAAGCCCAAGAGACATGTCCTCTGCCAACATTTGAACCCATTTTCCACTAGGACCGTATCCGAATGTGTGCAGTTATAAATCTCAACAGGTTGTTAGACTGATACATTTTGTATTTGAGTAAGTCAACACAATGACAACTGGGCTGAGAAGTTAAAAAAAAAAAAAAATGTTCCTCAAGACGAATACATTTGAGGTTCAATTAATTTCTTTAAAGCTTCATTCTTTATTACCTTAGGTAGAATAATCACAGTACCCATCATGATCTGAGAAAAGGCATAAACTACAGGTTGCAAACTCAGATGCCTAATAAGGACAGGGTGATCATGTAAATAAAAGAAGTAGGCTGGGTGTAGGAAACAGGTAGCGATAGCAGTCTTGGTCTTTCTTGGGTGTTCCCATTTTGCGTGAAGACGTGGATTAGGAAAACATTTCTCTGCCATAAGAATCAGAATAGCACAAATATGATGCTCAGGGTCGTGGGAGTGGTGGGTCTGTGACGGACGGGCACGGAGGGTACACGGTGCCCTAGAGTGGGAGCTAAAGATCAGCCCCAGGCGGTTGTTGCCGTGTGAGACTCCGCTACAGGTGTTTGTTTTTCAAAATGAGTTGGAAATCTGGACTTCTGAATTACATTTTCCAATTTAAAGATTGGAATTTGTTGCCAACATTTTAAAAACATCAAGCAGAAAGTGTCTACAAGTGCTCTATGGGCTCCCAGTTTTCAACCTCTGGTTTCCCTCATTTGTTCTTGTTCAGTGTGAAACCCTGCCTCTGTGTTTCCCCTGACTCTGCATTAAAATCCTGTCAGTCTCAGTGAGTCTTCTGGTCCCGTGATTTACTCCAGGGAACTGTAAAGCATCCCTTGGCTCTGCCTAGACACTTGTGCATAGAGTTAATGGTGTTGGATTTAGGAGGTGATTGTGGGTATTTGGAGAGCCCAGTGAATATAATCTCTCTCGTTTTGCAGATGTTTCTATTGATATGCCAGACCTACTTGATATCAACCATCTCCGAGCCAGGGGGTTACAGCCAGGAGAGGAGGAACTTCCGGACATCAGCCCCCCCGTAGTTATTCCTGATGACTCAAAAGGTACCATCTTCTGCTAGGAGGACCTTCTCGACCCCTCCCCACTCCTGTGCTGGAATGGTCCCTTTTCTTCCGCCACTCCCTTGTCCCTTCCTGTGTTGCAACCCACTGTGGACACACAGAAGTGAAGCCTGGCTGCAACTGTAAGCTTACAATAGTCATGGGAAGAGGCACAGAGACCCATCGTGAGTGGTCGAAATGGGCCCGTGGAAATCACTGGCAGCAGAGGGCAGCAAATCTCCAGAAAGTTCTTAGGTTACGTTGCCTCTGACTTTGCCTCCCTCCCTGCCTCCCTTCTTTCCCTTAATGGGCCTGTGGGGAAGAGAAGGGGTGTGTTTTCAGGGGGCTCTTCATCTGGGGGAGCTGTATCCTTGGAGTACCTTTAGAGAACCGAAAAGGGAAATTCAACCATGTGCGTTGGTTTTAAAAATCTTGCCCATGTCTCACCTCCCCATCTTTGTCACTGCTTCATAGCAAGGGAGCGGTTTGGGTTTCTCTTACTCTCTGAACCTTAAAGTAGTCCTTGTTCAAAATACTTAACTTTTAAAGGGAAAAGGACATGCAAAAAATGATTGCCTTTGTGAGTCCAAAAGCAGTGTGGAGAAATCTTGGTTTCATTATTAGCTCAGTTATTCTGGTGAAATCACTTTCATTCTGGCTTTGTTTGCCCACCTGTTTACTGTTCACCTTCGTAATGAGTTAATTAGGTACATTAGCTAATAGTGCCAGATGGCTGGGGGCCCTGCCACCACAGGATTTCCATCAGCTGAGCAGTGTATATTATTGGTGACCATGTTGGGGTAAGGTGAATCCAGGAGGAGCAAGCTAGGATTCAGCGTCGGCACCTGTGTTACATTATTCTCTAAATGCTAAATTACAGAGGACGGAGAGCAGGGAAGTGGCCTGTAGGTGGGGCAGCCTGGGTTATGTGGGGTACAGGTAGTTCATTAAAGAGGTTCTAGAAAGAAGAGATCAGTCTTGAGTGTCAGAGAAATACAAGATGGTTTATTACCATTGCTCCTGCTTTCTCTCATGTTCAGTAACAGTCCTTGGTTTGTAATTATACAGAGTTCTTAGAAGTACAGGGAGAGAAATTATTTAGTTCAATAAGATGATAAGCAGAGCGTCTTGCTTATCTGCTCTAAATGCCTGAAACCTGGTATTCTCCCTCCTTCCTGGAATGACTTTATGTCGTGCAGGCTGGGGTGGTCTGACGGGGGGACGGAGGGGCTGACAACAGTGTGGGATCTCAAGGGGGGGTGGGTGGTGAGCAAGTGCTCCGGATTAACTCTTTTTCTTTCTCCAGAACACTTTGCCGTGGTTTGGTCTCACTTCCCTCCCTGTCCTTTAATTTCCAGATCGCCTGATGAACCAGTTGATAGACCGTATGTATCTTTTATGTTTTTTTCTCAGTGTCCTACTGTTGTTACCGGTCTAACTCATTTATCTGTGGGATTCAGTAAAGGGGCATTGTTCTGTACCTGTGTATGTGCAGCTTTTCCGGGTGGGCACAGTCCTTGGTCTGCAAGTTGAGGTAGCAGCAAATCTAAACCAGTGACATGGTGATTAGGTGGCCCTGTGGTTCACGAGAGTGAACATTAGTGTGAGAGCGAAGCAGCCCTGAGCTGGAATCTCAGCTCTGCCATTTGTGACTGTGTGATCTAGAATCATTAACTTAACTTCTCTGAGCCTCAGTTTCCTCGTGTGTGAATGGGGGATAATGATGCCATTTCTTCCCTCTTTGGCCCCGAGTAGGCCTCCTTCTGCAGTGATGGCACAGTGGCCTGTCACTTTTTCCACTCCTGCTTCTGGACACATAATGAAGGTCTACCACTGACAGGACGTGGTAGTATTAATTAATACTCTTAAGGGTGTTAGTTCCATCTGATTGTTTGTCAATTTTGTAGTCATTTAGTTCTTGTAATTACCTGTGAGAGTTGATACTCTTGATTTTCTAAAGAACATGAAAAAAATAAACTATTTATAGTGAATATTTAGATATTAATTAGCAGGAAGGAGGAGTGTGTAACACAAAATACTCTGAATCTTTTTGTCTACAAAGCCTTTCTGGAGACACTGTTGTTAATGTAGAAGTTCAAGTGTTTTACTTTGCAAACGCTTTACGTGTTCGATCACATGGCGTAGACCTCCCTATTTCCTTTCTGGGGCCAATTTTGATTTGCTGATTGCTGGGAAAGGCTGTTAGGGTCAGCGAGCGTCATGGGCGAACCATTGCCTCTGTAAATAATCTGATTGTAATGATAACAATATTTTTGAATGGTTACCATGAGTCATGTTGAGTTTATTACTCCATAAATTCTTTCAACTGTATTTAACTGTACTATTAATACAAAGCCCAGATTCTTGTTTGAATGTCACGGTAAGAAGGGCAGAGTAGGTGACCTTTTATAGAGGATAAAACTGAGACCTAGGAAAGTTCAGAGACCCAAGAGCTAGGACCAGAGCCAGGGCTAGGCATCAAGCATGCTTTTCATGTCACTCGACCTTTTCTGGAATGTGAGGAGTTTCGATGCCCCTGACCCTGCAGAGAGCCGGTCTCCAGGATCTTGCCCCAGGGGAGGTGATGGGTGGTTGGAACTGTGTCAGAGCCTGTGTGACAGTGAGCATTCAGCCATTTTCTATTTTCCCCCGATCTAAGCCTGCTGTCTTATCAGCAATGACCTATGTTCAGCAGGAGAAAACAGTATTATCTTGGGTTAATTTACATTTATATCCTACCTTTCTCAGATATTTAAAAGGAATAACTTTGATTATTTTCTTATTCTAAAGTGAAAAGATATGTAGAAATTATGGATTGGTGAAAACAGTCATCTCTGGTTTCATCTATAACCACTATTAACATTTGGCATCTGTCCTTCTACTGTTCTTTGCCTGTGCCTGGCTCACTGTATTTTCCCCAAAATGCAATTATACATTTTCAATTTAATATACTATTATATACATGCATACATTTATTAAGCTGCATTACTTTAACTGCATTCTGGGGAACAGGGTCTTTTACAAGGTGTTGAAAAGTATTCTGTAGAAAGAGTTTCATAGTTTCTTTACCACAGGAGTCTTTTTTGTTGTTGTTACTAAAATTTTAAAATATTTTTAATATTTTATTTGACTGAAGTATAGTTGATTTACAATGTGTTAGTTTCAGGTGTATAGCACAGTGATTCAGTTATACATATATATATATATATATACACATATATATATATTCTTTTTTTAGATTCTTTTATAGGCTACTGTAAAATATTGAGTATAGTTCCCTGTGCTATACAGTAGGTCCTTGTTGGTTATCTGTTTTATATATAGTAGTGTGTATGTGTTAAGACTCCAACCTACTGCAGGAGTCTTTATTATAGGACTTTAGAATTTTCACTACATTAATGCACACTGTGAATTTCTAGAGAGAATTGAGAATGCAGGTTTAAAAAACTTATTTGACCATGGAAGTCCCTTGTTTTGTGCTTCAGTAATTACATCTCTCTTAGAACACTAGGATTCTCTAGAACACATTTGGGGAATCACTGCTGTCCTACATCATTGCTTTCTTAAAATTTTATCTTGATAGGATGTTTTGTATATCCTCTTGAGAGAGCACTTTGGTAAATACATTTTCAGTACAATTTTTGTAGAACAGATGTCTCTGTTCTTCAGTTCTTCTACTGATTGCTGTCTTTGGCAGAGTTTTCAGTAGATTACAGACCTCAGGACATGGAAAATATAAGGGGTATGTTTTGTGTTCCTGTTCCCTCCCCACCTTTGGTATAATTTGAGAGCACTTTGTAGGTGTGTATGTGTACACACACACGGACATACATACACACCCATGTACAAGTATACATATGCATACAAGCATGTATATGTGTGCATACACATACAGATCTATATTTATGTCTGTGTATCGATAAACACACACCTCTCTACCAATATCTATATATTATTGTGAAAAGAAAACAAAATCTGTGTCTAAACCAGAGTTAGGTTTGTAAAGCAATCTTTTTTAATATCTTAAATATATACAATGAACAAACACATTCTTCTGTCATAACATTGGGCTCTCCATTTCTCAGAGCTGATTGCATTCTATGATTGCTAATATATCTAAAAGCCTGCTATAACCTTCTGTGAGATTTAAGGAATAGGCTTTTTGGCCTGTAGATAATGCTTTTCTCTTCAAATTTCAGCAGTCCATAGGAGAGGCTGCTGTAGTGGTCTTGAGAGTGATGTAAGAGACTGAAATGGTTCTGGGAATACACTAGATCTCCCCATAGGAAATAAGAGAGTTGTTTTTCAGTGCTTGGATTGTTCAGGTAATTACCATGGTTCCTATTTAGGTCAAAGATTAAAACTCAACTCAAATAGCTTAATATTTGGATGGCTTAAAACAAAACACAGTTAAACCACCATGTACATATTAAACAAAATAGCCCGTTCTTTGGGTAGCATGTGGATAAGGGGCGAAGAGAAGCTAAGACGAGAAGAAATAGGGTTGACTTTTTTACACCAGAATATCCTGTGTGCTCTGTAGCATCAGACATCGATGAGTCATCGGTGATGCAGCTGGCCGAGATGGGTTTCCCTCTGGAAGCGTGTCGGAAGGCTGTGTATTTTACTGGAAATATGGGAGCCGAAGTGGCCTTCAACTGGATCATTGTTCACATGGAAGAGCCAGGTAGGTGGTCAGAAATGGGATGGCTTTGGAATCTGATGTGATCCTCAGTGATGTTAACCCTTGGTCCTACTGCGTCCTCTGGATGTGTCCCAGAAAATGACCTTTCAGCTCATAATCTGCTGCATGAGGCTGGGGGATGGTTATTTTGCCCATGTAGCAAAGTCACAATCTTTGTCTTTCCTCCTTTTTTAAATAATAGCTTTGTTGAGATTAATTCACCCTTTTAAATTGTATAATTCAGTAGCAAAAAGACCATTGGAAAGATATGGGATAAACTTCTAGCTATGAGGAGGACTTGAGATAGAAAAATGTGCGTGAAGAAATAGGGGCTGTTTAGTTAGCTTTTACTTTTATCCACTTTATTAAGCTATAATTCACATACCATATAATTTCCTCATTGAAAGTGTACATTTCAGTGTTTTTTTTAGTAGATTCGCAGAGTTGTGCCACCATCACCAGTTAATTTCCAAAAAGAAATTCTGTACACGATGGCAGTCCCTTTCGCGTTTCCCCTGCTCTCTCCAGCCCCCGACAATCACTAGCCTACTTTCCGGCTCTGTGGATTTGCCTGTTACGGATGTTTCATATAAATGTAATCATACAATATGAGATCTTTTGTTTTTGGCTTCTATCACTTAGCATAATGCTTTCAAGGTTCATCTATGTTGTGGCATGTATTGGTACTTCATTCCTTTTTACGGCTGAATAATAGTCTGTTGTATGGATGTACTAAATTTTATTTATCCTTTCATCTGTTGGTAGACATTTGGGTTGTTTCCACTTTTTGGCTATTATGAGTAATGCTGCTATAAACATTTTGTGTACAAATTTTTATGTGGACATGTTTTCATTTGTTTTGAGTGGAATTGCTGTGTCATATAGTAACTCCACATTTGACTTTCTTAGAAACCACCAAATTGTTTTCAACAGTGGCTGTACAACATTCCCATCAGCAATGTATGAGGGTTCCAGTTTCTCCACATCCTCACCAACCCTCGTTGTTATTGTTTTTATTATACCCAATCCATTGGATGAGAAGTGGTATCTCATTGTCGTTTTGATTTGCATTTCCCTAATGGCTAATGATGAACATCTTTTCATATGCTTATTGGCCATTTATGTATCTTTGAAGAAATGTCTCTTCAAATCCTTTGCCCATTTTTAATGAGGTTATTTGTATTGTTGACTTCTAAGAGCTCTGGATACAGGTACCTTATCAGATATATGATTTGCAAATATTTTCTCCCATTGTGTGGGCTGTCTTTTCACTTTCTTGATAGTGTCCTTTAAGCACAAAAGTTTTTAATTTTGATGAAGTCCAATTTGTTTGTTTGTTTCTTTTGTCACTTGTGCTTTTGGTGTACCTGAGAAACCATTGCCTAACCCAGGGTCACAGAGATTTTCTCATATGCTTTCTTCTAAGAGTTCTGTAGTTTTAGCTCTGACATTTAGACCAATGATCCATTTGGAGTTAATTTTTACATATGGTGTAAGGTAGGGGTCCAACTTTATTTTTTTCGCATGTGGATATGTAGTTGTCTCCGCACTATTTGTTGAAAAGACTGTCCTTTCCCCTTTGAATGGTCTCGGTAGCCTTGTTGAAAATCAGTTGACCATAGGTATGTGGGTTTATATCTGAATTCTCAATTCTATTTGATTGGTCTGTTGATCTATATGTTTACCCTTATGCCGGTACCAGACTGTCTTGATTATTTTAACTTTAGGTATTTTTTCTTCTTAGCTCTAAAATGTTGTTTATTTCAAGACCCCCCATAAAAGAAAAGGGCCTGAGTGTGATTATTGTCCCCAGATTTTGCCGAGCCGCTGACCATGCCGGGTTATGGAGGAGCAGCTTCTGCTGCAGCCTCTGCTGGGCTGGATAACCAACCTCCGGAGGAAACTGTAGCTCTCATTACCTCCATGGGATTCCATCGAAATCTGGCTCTTCAGGCGCTACGAGCAACGGTAAGCCTGGGAGACTGTATGTGAACACCTTCTTGTTGGAGGTAGTTTGTGTTTTGTCAGTAGAGACTGAAACTTTCCAATGTCCTTTGATCGTTTTGAATCATGTCTGTCTCATGCCATACCCCACCACGCCCCACAAAGATTTATTTGTATGTAGTATATATAAAGCTAAAATAAATGATTGAGGGAATCATACAGAGATTTTAAGAATAAGGAGATATTTTAAAAAGGAGGGAGATAATACACTGGGGGCAAGTTGACCCAGCTGAAAGAAACTCTGTATCATCTTAATATTTATAAGCATGAGGTCAGAGACTTGACTTGGAGCTTGCTTGTGGCCTTAGAGCAAAGAGGGATGCTTGAGACTCTGTGTTCAATAAGGCAGTTCTTTTGGAGAAATTGTGCTTTTCTGATACCAAGACCTTGGAGCAGTGTCTCTCAAAAGTCCTCATAGAGAAGTCTCCTTGGAATTCTCTGCTTTTGTTTCTCTCTACAGAGAGAGAGGGTTTTTCAGGTATTTGTGAAGTCCTAATATTATCAGGAAAGAAGGGACCAGGAAACGGGAGGGTAGATGGAACCGTTCCTTTTGCAGTGCAGATATCTGTTTAGTATTGAGGGAGGAAAGTACTTTTTTTTTCACACCATAATCCATTTTTGAGTGGATATCTGCTCCTAATTCCTTCTTGCTTATCCTGACTGGTTGCCTGCTGAGGTCCCTTGCTGAGGTCACAGCGGCTCTCTCCTGGTTCCGGGCAGTGTGGCTGGAAAAATCTGTTTCCCTTTAAAATGCTTGAAATGTCTCAACCAGAGTTTGTTTATGCGGGGTACTTGCTTATGCCCCAATTATTTTACTTGCTTGACTCTTTAATTGGAGAGTCTAACTACATCTAAACAAATTCTTTAACTCACCAAGTGATACCACAAAGGGAGAAGACAGAAATGTTTTTATGATCCATTGATTTGAATTACATGGAGTTCAGTTTAAAACAATGTAACTTAACTAACCAGTGTCGTCATCATTGATCAAGGCATCAGTCTTGTCTCTACTGCAGTTCAACCACTTTGCCAACATTTAGGAGAGGAGCTCTGACACAGTACTCATGTTGGCTTCCCTCTACCCTGCATGGTTATCTGCACAAAATACAGTTGGTAGAGAAGATAGCGTGTGCGATTAGTGTGGCTTTGGAAAAGGCTGCACTGAAACAGATGCCTTTCTCTTTGGCATTTTGCCTCCCGTCATTATCAGCATCAGCCCACAGAAATGCCGAGCTAAGACCGATACGGGCTTTGCAGTGCCGACCTGCTGCTGTGAGCTGTTTTCCAGCGAATCCAGTTACAGACTTCGGTTGGGAGACTTGCAGAATGTCCACGGAAAGTGTGTTTCATATGCAGGGTCAGAGCTTCTCACTCAGAGGCACTTAGGACTAATGAATTCAAGCCTCCTGTCCTATCTGCTTGACATCCTGGTTCAAACGGTCAGGATATAATGAGGCCCCGGGACTGCTTACATTGTAAAAATGTTTTGTATTATTAGAATAGTAACCTGGAAAGAGCACTGGATTGGATCTTTAGCCACCCTGAGTTTGAGGAGGACAGTGACTTTGTGATCGAGATGGAGAATAACGCCAACGCGAACATTATTTCCGAAGCCAAGCCTGAAGGACCTAGAGTCAAGGATGGATCTGGAAGTAAGTTCTTGACTTAGCGATTGTCTGAGCAGTCGTGATTGTACATTCGGTTCGTGCCCTTCCCTCCCACTCCCGAATATTAAAACCTTTGCCATCATTTAAAAGTTAGCACAGATCCCAGCTTCTCATAAGTGGTGCACTTGGCCACTTTGCATAGGCCAGGGTGATCTGAGGAAGTCTTGGGCGGACTCAGTCATGTCACCTGGTAGTGTGTGTGCCTCAGTTTAGTGCCAGCTCTGACTCTGTCTATCATCTGAGGTGAAATTTCATCGTGGACCATGCACGTTTTTGTCCAAAAGAGAGCATTTATTTTCGTGGTGGTATTTTTGAAGAGTTGAAAAGCAGTCTTATAACCTTGACCCTGTCGTTGCTCATGATCATTTTCTGAAGGGCTGTCAGGATGGCAGGAAGAGGTGCCGTAGGCCCATGGGGAGCCTTCCATCAGCGAACACATATGTCACTCTGTGCCAACTAGGGCTCTAAGCACTTTACCTAAGCACTCATTTAATCCTCACCACACCCATTTTACAGGTGAGAAAACAGAGGCATAGAAAGATGAGGTAACCTTGCCCAAGGTCACATAGCTCTTCAGAGGTGCAGCCAAGATTCAAAGTCAGAATCCATGTTCTTCAGCCCCGTGATACCCTTCTTCTCGGGCTGTGCTTGCCTACAGGGTCGGAGCCCGGCAGCCGTCACCTCCTGCGGTCAGGTCCCAGCCTGCTTGGCTCTCAGTGTTATCTCCTCTGCAGCCCCAGACCTACAGCTCACATGCCTGCTATGGTACCACACCACCAGCCTGCTCATCCGTCCTCAACCGTCTTCTCCCTACTTCCAGGCCTTCGTTCAGGCTAATCCTTAGCTGCGAACTGCCCCTTTTTTCCCATCACAGCACACTAAAATCCTCATCGTTATTCAGAACTTGGCCACAGATTCCATTTCTCTGGACCACTTTCCCAGGTTCTTGTCATAATTGGTCCCTCTTTACCTCACATGCTAGTAGTAATTATACCAATATTAACAATCCTTCCACTTGTGTCACGTTTCATCTTCACAGTAACCCTGTGAGGTAGGTACCATTATTATCTCCATGCCACAGATGGAGAAACTGAGGCAGAGAAGGCAAAGTAACTTGTCAAGGTCACTGTGCTGGTGAGAAGTAGAACCAGAATTCCAACCCAAGCAGCCTCCCTGCAGAGCCCGTGCCTGCAGCCACTGTAACGTAGTGTTTGTTCTGTTCTTAGAGGTATCAGATTCATCTTGAGATAAAATTAGTTGGGTAAATACCTGTGTCTCCCAGCTGACTGGGAGCTCATGGAGGACAGAGGCTATTTTACTTTTATAAAGCTTGTGGTGTCCAGTGCCTAGAAAGTATCAAGTAAATAATAATTGGATTTAATTAAATTTACCATAACAGCATTTGCTCCTATGATCGTATGGCTGTAGCTCTACTCATTAATGGTCTTACCAGACCTAACACATATGTATTGATATAGCTCTAGAGACAGAGAGGGGGAGGGAAACTTTCTTCTTCTTTTATAGAAAATAGGAATTTCTTCACTGAAGTTGTTTTAATCCAACTAGACTGGAAAAGGATGAGCTGTAGTTCTCCCGACTTCCACATTCATCTAAAGGGTCTTGTATTACTTTTTGGAAATCATTGGCTTGCTTGAAACATTAAAAGCTGTTATGGACAAGCATTATTCAATAATTCACGAGCAGGACTTATTATGTGTTACATGTCCATCGGTTCACTCCTTCCTTGATTTTCAGTAATGGACTCTTCTTTAGGGAAGGTGAGTTCTTGCAGAAAGAATAAACCACAAGATGGGGCCGCTGTAGAGCTGCCAAGGTATTTGGCTGCAGAGGGAAGGAGAGTCTGATCGTTAGGGTTTCCTGTCTTCTGATGGAGCTTGGAGGGACCAACCATTCTCTCAGAGATGGTCATTAATTATACAGAACAGCCACATCCTCTCCTCGGGCTTACTGAACTCAGAGTGACCTGCACGTATTCCTGGTTTTTGAGTTGCATCCTTGAGTAGGATGTCATGATGATGTTTTTGAGCACCCTTGAATTTAAAGACACTCTGGGCCAAACTCTATGGCTTTACTCCTCATTGCTCCCAAATTTTGGCACTTATGGGTGAGGGTGGGGAAGGAGACAGTGATGCACTATGAGAAATCACATATGGGATATGCAGAATCTAAGGGCAGCAGGAGGTGAAAAATTTAATTATGAAAAAAGCATAAACCACCCTAACTCACCAAATGCATTCTGCGCTGGATTTTATAGAAGAACAGACGTTTTTAAAGCAACTTTTCCATCAGTGTGTCCGGCCCATGGGAGGTGATCAGCAAGTGAATGATTGAATGAAGAATTAAATGAATGCCAGGTGGTAGTGGTCACAGGGATAGTTTTTTAAATTACCTCTACTAAGTACCATTTGGAGGAATTAGCAGTGTACTGTTGCATTCTATTCTATTCCCTTTTCACAGGAAAGGGAAAAGATGATTTCTTGTACTTTGCTGCATTAGCACCTGAACTCATATGTCACTTTTTTTCCTTTTACAAAAATTAACATTTATGTTGTTTCTTTTTCTTATAATTAAAAGGATGTATAATAATTTTAGCAACTGGAGAAAATACAGATATAGGAAAAGAGGAAAACAAAAATTACAATCCTGCTACCCGGTCATAACCCAGTCACTGTTAAATGTTCTGTGTATATTCTTTAGACCTTTCTTTGCAAATATATAAAAATGAATATAAAAATGTATATAAGAATATAGCATTCTATTCTATACATGCTGTTTAAAAAAATTTGAATTATAGTTGATTTACAATATTATATTAGTTTCAGGTGTACAACATAGTGATTCAATATTTTTATAGCTGACGCTCCACTTATAGTTATTACAAAATAATGACTATATTTCCCTATTCTGTACAAGATATCCTTGTGGCGTATCTACTTTACACTATACGTGCTATTTTATAGTCTGCTCTTTCCGTAACTGTGGGTGTACTTTATGTAAATCTAGGCCATTGAACATATATTAATATTCCATTGTACCATAATATATATACCTAATCTTAGGCTAGTTGTTGTTTAAATAAAAGATGATTTCAGAAAGAGTTTTAAATAATGGGGTTATTTGCACATTTGGAAGGTGATGGCAGTGATTTTTAAATAACACATTTCTTAAAGGATGAATGCAGTTCACAGAAGTACAACAAATGCCTCTTTCAATCTCTATCCAGGCAACAAACATTTGTTCAGCTTTTCAGTTTCTTTCATTTCTTCCCTCCTCCACCCCCTCCCTTCCTTTTTTCTCTATTAAAAATAATGCTGTAATGAACATTCTTGAGCTCTCCCTTATTATTTCTTTAGGGTAAGTTTCTGGAAGTGAAGTTTTGGGGTCAAAACTGCGTATTTTTGAGATGTGAATACAGATGATCCCATCACCAACCTCCCCACCCCCTGCCCCGCCCAAAACACAGCCCTGCGCTCCTGGTTCCCTGTCCTTCCCAACAGTGCTGTTGGCCGAGCACTCTTCATGTGTTTTATATCTTTATTGCCTAGTTGTTTTTCTTGTGTTAACCGCTTCCTCATTTCCTTTGCCCATTTTCCCATTTTTATTGAGGTTTTTAGATTTTTTTTTATTGATTTGTATGAGAGTTTCAAATACTGTAAATTAGTTTGGGAATACCTCGTAGCTTTATATTGAGTTTTTCTGGCCAGAAACATGTTACCCGTTTCCTTTGCTTTGTATCCCCCTTCTCCCACCCCTGCAGAGCTATACGGTTTTCTCTATAAACATCTGCCTTTTTGGTTTAGTTCTCAGAATTACATTTTCTGTGTTACTTATGAATAACATTTTTCCCCATTATATTTTCTCAATTGTTCCTGCTGAATTTTGGAAAGTTCCTGGTCTTGTAATTGGCCATTCTCCAGGGATTTGATTAGAATTACATTAAATTGCATTAAATTCATAGGTTCCACTCCGGGAGATGTGTATTCTGTGTAGGTGAGTTGTTTGCATTCCCCAAACATTGTTTTTTACCTTTATTGTGGTTGGTGAATTGGCTTGGACATTTGACTTGGGGGTAATGAGGACAATTTAAAGGTTTAGGTGATTCCTATTTAGGTGCAAAATGGAGAGCCAAAACAGACAAACCAAGTAAAACCAACAACAGGGTTTTCAGGGTTCTTTTGTAAGTAGCAGGATTGCTGAGCCAAACTTGTCTAAGCAAAAAAGGGTGTCTTGTAATATAAAAGCTGGAAAATCCCAGGAAGACTTGACTCTGGGCATGCCCTTGACTCCAGGACTCAAGCCCTTTTATATGAGTATATCTCTTGCCTCTGGGGTTGGTTCCAGTCTCAGACAGGCTCTCCCTCATGGCCACGAGATGGCTGCCAGTGCCTCCTAGTATTGTATCTTTCCAGCAGAAAGAGTCGTGTCCCAGAGTTCTCAGCAGATGTCCTGGGAATGTGAGAGTCTGTCGTGTACCCTCCCCTGTTGTCATGTCTGAGCCGAGAAGGGAAGGGTTGGTCTCTTCAAAGCACTGGTTTGAGTGTGGGCCTAGACCATCAGAATCAGGGTCACCTGAGAACTTGCTGGAGATGCAGATTCTTGGACCTCACCCAGGCCTACTGAATTAGGCCCTCCAGGGGCGGGCTTAGCGAGGTGTGGTTTAACAGACCCTCCAGGTGGTTCTAATTCAACTTAAATTTGAGAACCACCATTTTAAACAGCAAGATTAGTTTACTCTTACTTTAAGATGGAGGATCGTGGCCGCTACTTTAAGATGGAGGATCGTGGCCGCTGGGAGATCACTCCAGCAGGTTAACGCTGAAAATAATGACAAGGTAGGTGTTTGAATTGGAAAAACAGTGACTGGGATTAAAGAAGCACTTGTATCAAATTCTTCCTTTAGGGAATATGTAATTAAAAATTACTATTGCCATCTTTTTGAATGAGGAAGTAATGTCATTGCATGA